AGAGAGAGAGAGAGAGAGAGGGGTTTGATCAACCCAATTAAATGGACCCGAGTTTCTCAACTGGTACACAAATCACTCATATCAGAGCTTATGTTCCTATATGCTATTCTTTACGAAACAAAACCCAAAACAATTAATTACCCTCGTACAACATGACATCCAAATACACACACACACGCACACACCATCACCATACACGAAAACAAACTTTCAAATTCCCGTTCCGTCCATAATGCTCGCAATGATTTGCCATCTTTGACAGCCACTCTTTATGGTATGGTATATGATCTTTCATACCAATGACCCGCACTCATCAAGCGTTTTCCAAACACACAAAAACCCATGCAATATCGTATTCAACGAACTTCTACCACCCTTTCCCCCCCTACCCTTTCCACTACCCCCGCACAGTACTCATCACACGCGTACTCATACTCACTCCCACAAGTACTCTCCGTACTCATACTCATTCCCTCACCCATTACCCGGCCGCACCCAACCCCTCAATAAATTGCTCCGCTTTGCCCGAAATCGTTTTTGTGACACCACTACCCATCACAAAAATTATTTTGCCATTAACCGCTACCCACTGGGACCTTTTCTAGCCTACCCGTGCTTTCCCATAGCAAGACTCTACCAGGGTCTCTCTCAGTTACTGTTTCAGCTCATATTTCATTGTGGCGGTAACGAGTAGAAGATCGGGAGAAAAAAAGGGGAGGGGGCGAGCGGAGTAGCAAAACGGGCTAGGCGTTTTAAATAATTTTTGGGGTATAAAAGGGGTGGAGAGGGACAGAGAAGTATCTGGAATCAACGGGTTCCGAAAGACACAATCTTGGAGCGCTAAAGTCGTGGGATCTGTGATTTAAACTAGGAAAAGTATAAAAGCAGAAGGAAAAAGAAGAAGAAGAAGAAGAAGAAGAGGTTAGAAGATAAATATATTTACAAAGATATATATATTTCTATTCGTTACATTCAGACGCTCACACAATTAGAAACGCACACACGTAGTAGAGATCGATCTTCTAGTGTGAAATCATTGATTGTGATTGGACTTCACACCGCCGCCCTCTCCTCTCCTCTCCTCCGAATTTCTCGAAAATCGTGAAAAGTGATCACCACAAAACACCCAGACATTTTCTGAAAAAATAATAACAACACCCGTGCACCACCCAGGCACGTGACTTTTTAAAGTATTTGTTTACCCTCTACCCCCTCATACCCCACACCCGTGCACCATGAGAATAGCTAGCGTGTCCGCCACATCAACAGCTTTACTATTGGTCTCCGTGGCCGTGGCAGACCTTGCCGGACTCTACGAACAATGGACCAGCAACGATCTCCAGCAATATTTGCAAGACCAGAAACAAACGCTCCAGAAATCGGGCAAAGAAAACGCAGACGTGCTCCGCAAACACGCAGAGGCGCTCTACGCAAAACAATCAACACCTACCCCATGGTGGAATTTCTGGTCCTCGCGTACCCGTGTAGCCGATTTTGCCCAAAATAAAGACCCCATCTCGGAATGGTTTTTCGACACGTGGTCCGCAAAGGATCTGCGCAAGCTATTGTCCAAGAGCAAAGTCAAATTCAACTCCGACCTGTCGCGCGACGCATTGGTGGCCAAGGCCAAAGAAAGCTTTGAACAGATCAACTCCAAAAATGAGTTGTCTGGCCTATATCCCTCGCAGCAGTATTTCGCCAACTGGGATGACTACGATCTCAAATCGTGGCTAGACGAGTTCCACGTGCCCTACGACAAGTCCAAGGCCAAGAAGGACGAACTCTTGGCTAAAGTGCGCGAGAATATCCACTCGGCATCTCGCTACGCCAACGATGAACGTCTCAACCTCTTGGAGCAATTGGATATTGCAAACCAACAAGTTGTAGACAAGGCCGGAAAAGTCAAGGACCAAGTGTTCAACACCTGGTCCACGCGTGAGATTGAAGACTGGTTGCAAAGCCACAAGATCAAGCTCGAGGACCATGCCGAAAACGATCGCCAATATTTGTTGAACGTTGCCCAAAAAAACAAAAAATACCTACAGGACGATGCCAGCTGGTATTTGGAAGCAGCCAAAAATAAGGCTTCTCCTTTCTACGCCAAATCGGAGGAGGCCGTAGCTTCTGTGTGGAGCCAGACCGCTAACAAATGGCAGGATTTCAAAAATTATTTCTCCCACAGCGACAACATTGTGAACCACACTTTCTTGTTGGGTGTAGAGTCTTGGCCCAAGAAACGGTTGCGGGCATTTTTAGACGCGCGTGGAGTCTCTTACTCGTGGTTCAGCACCCGTGCCGAGCTTTTGGATTTGGTCAAGGAATTCCGCAACCGTCCTTTGAAAAACTTGGCCACATCGCCCGTTGTAGCCGAGTACTTTGATGGCTGGTCCTTTGAGAATCTCAAGGAGTGGGTCAAAGACAAGAATGACGACATAACCTCCAGCGATGTTTACAAGGCTGCCAGCAGCAAAGTCAACGATCTTCTAGTAGAAGGTCAACATCAGGGCGAAAATGCCTGGTTGTATGCTCAGAAGAAGGGTGGCGATGCCTCGGACTACGCTCAATCAAAAGGTGCTGAAGCTGCTCGTGCCGCAACCGACTACGCAGCAGAAGCCGGAGCTGGAGCTGCCACATACGCCAAGGAGAAGGGCGCTGACGCATCTTCTTATGCCAAAGTGAAAGGCACTGACGCCTCTTCCTACGCCAAGGACAAGGCCGCAGACATCAATTCTCGTGCTTCATCGTATGCGAAAGATAAGGCTTCGGAAGCCGCTTCATACGCGAAGGAGCAGGCTTCAAGTGCCTCTGACTACGCCAAAGATAAGGGCGACGACGCTGCCGCGTACCTCAAGGACAAGGGTTCCGATGCTTTGGAATATGCCCAGGAGAAAACTGCCGATGCCGCTCATGCTGCGCATCAAAAGGGCCTCGATGCTTACGACGCTGCCAGTGAAAAGGTTGACGAATGGGCCACCTTGTTCTCCTCCTGGTCCACTGACGACTTGAGAAACTATGCCAAATCGTTTGGTATCAAGACCGCGCCCACGACGCCAAGGGAGAGACTTGTTGAGCTAGTCAAAGAGAACACCCGCTGGTTCTTTGGCTATTACCAGGATCCTCTGTACAAAAGAGTTCCCAAGAAGATCAGCAACATATTCTCCAACAGCTACCAGTACGTTTTCCATCATTGAATAGTGTCGAGGGTGAAAACTGCAGTTGGTTAGAATTCAGAGTCGCAGGAACCCTCGACGACTATTATGAGACAGTGCTAGTCAAACACTCGAAGTTGTGTTTGCCACTGCTCACGCCATGTTTTATGAATTGAATGCATTTTCGAAAAACTATTGATCAAGTCGGCTTGATAGCGACTTGTTGTAATGAAACAGACCAAATTGGTGTATGTAGCTCATCTCATGTATCGAATGTAGTGTAAATTGTTGCTACTCATCTCTCAGAAACGCTCTCTTTCCTATTCAGACACATCTCGATCAGGTTAAGCTACCAGTTGAGAATTTGAATATAATTTAAAGAATTGAATGAAATATAGATATCTTTAACTCACCATCATAGAAAACTTCAATCTGAAAACGTACTTAGACGTCTCATCCATCAGACATTATGTCAAAATACGCTTGGTATACTAAGGTTACAGATGCAGCCCACCGTTTGACAGTTTTGTCGCTTGTTGGCGGTACTATTTACATGGCTGGAGGATTAGTTTATACCATGTACACTACTGGTACCAAATATGAACAACAAGTTACGCAGAAAGCTGCCGAAAAGGAGGCAGAAAATGCACAATGAATGGGTAATGCTGGTCTTGAGTTAGTAAAGCTCGGAATAGAAAAGCCCAAGGTCTGTCCTCCCTTTTCGATTTGTATATAGTGGGCCTTGGTTACCAGTCATCGAGTGTATATAAGTATATATGTATATGATAATTTAAACTAACGGAAAATGAAAATATCAGGACGGTGTAAGTTGCCGTTTCTCAGCTCTCAGTCTCATATCACTTATTCTGGCGTTTCGGGCTCTTCTCGGTGTCGTCCTGTGGGTTGGCCTTCCGTTTTTTCGTTTTGACCGGTTTCCCACTATGTGTTAGACCTTTACTCTTGAGTTTAGCCATGCGTTTTTCAAGGACCGACAACTCTTCTGCGCTTGGATTTAATGCTATCACGTCGGTGTTTTTGTACTGAACGCTGCAAGCAGCACATTGGTCTCCACCGAGCGTTCGTCGTGGCACGACATCCCCGCATGGTGCCAAATACGAAAACTTGCCTGAGCTTTTGCCCCATATTTCGTCTCCCACATCGCATTTCAGCACCGACCCTTTGTCGCCCACTTCGACCTCCACGATGTTGTGTAGCTCTATAACGTCTTTCAAGGTCTTTATGTGGCCAAACAATCGGACTTGGTCGTCAGAGTAGTCCTCCTTGTGTGGTGTCAGCAGCCATTCCAGAATCGATTCTTTATTGAAAAGATTGCCACGGTAATCACTGACTACTGGTGGTTGCAATGGTGCGTTACTTAGTCTACATATTGACCATCTGGATACAGAATCAAAAGTTCGAGATTCTGAGTTCTGAGAACCGCTACTACGTCGCTTGGTAGCCGTCAGTAGCGTTTTTACCTTCGAGATGGAGCTACCGTCGTTCTGATTAACTTGTTAGTATAGAAAAGAGTTGGATCAAGCTATACAGCCCGCTACTTAGCCACATACCCCCATCCTTTCTGTTTTGGCTGTGAGTTTTGGCCGTTGAATAATATGTTGTAGGTAGATAGAGATTGATTAATCGATGCGATGAGCTTGCAAGAATACTGAACCAAAACTTCACAAAAAAGAGTCAATAGTCACCTTTCAAAGCTCATAAGACTGTTGAAAATGTCCAGCTACGAGGACAGAGACAAATGGTATGCAATTTACGTTGTTTTTGAAGCTTTTTTGAAGCATTTTTGGGTTCGATGATACTAACTCTCTTTTCACTAGTCATTTCTACTATAAGATCGGAGCTTGCAGACATGGCGATCGATGCTCCAAAAAACACATTCGTCCTTCATTGTCAATGACTCTTTTAGTACCGAATATGTACTGGAAACCGAGCTCCGACGATTCGCAAACGCTGCAGACCGATTTTGACGCCTTTTTCGAAGATGTATACATGGAGGCAGCTCGGTTTGGCGAGCTACAAGCCATGGTCGTGTGCGAAAACAAGAACGACCATTTGAACGGGAACGTTTATCTGAAGTTTGCGCTGCCGAAAGACGCACAAGCTGCGAAGGATAGTTTCAACACACGCTGGTACAACGAGCGGCCTTTGTATTGCGAATTCTCGCATGTCACCGACTTCCGCGAAGCGGTTTGTCGGAAACACGACATGCAGTCGTGTGAAAGAGGTGATGAATGTAACTTTATGCATGTTCAGCGTCCCAGTTCACGACTTTTGACCGACCTTGAGCGCGCCCAAAAACGTGAGAGAAGCATCAAAGAAAGAAAATAGCACTCTATCAACAGTCCCAACGTGAATCCGTCTATCGCTTAGGTCTTTCCAAAGCTATATGATCTTTTTGGATCTGCATTATTTTTGGGCCATAAGTCTATCAAAACGACTTCAAATTTCGCTCAAAGACCATCAGAAAAAACCAAAAAATTCCAGGTGTTTGAGATTGACTACAAGAACAAATTATCAATCGATATCGAGCCCCAATCGGCCTTCCCTCTTGTGAAAATCTCTCAGTGTCCCTTCCTCAAAGCTCTCGCTGTATCCGAGATCACCCACGACGAAGACCCATTTTTCAATATTTCCAAATCTTAAGTCGGTGGCGAACCCTTCCTACCTTTACCAACCACACAGAGAGGCAAGAATCGATCTCAATTGAATCGAATTGGTGCTCAAAAATATCTCGAAAAGCGATTGAACAATGACTGACAGATACTCCTTTTCGCTGACCACTTTTTCGCCAAGGTATGTTGAACTTTTGATGTTGAATGTTTAAAAAAAGGCTAGGACTGGTTTGAATAGTTTTGGCTTCCGGCTCTCAGTTTGCCGCAGAATTCTTTCATTTGGATTTGGCTCTGATTTACTGACTTTCTCCGATCTTTTTAGCGGCAAATTGGGTCAAATAGACTATGCATTGACAGCAGTAAAACAAGGTGTTACTTCGCTGGGAATAAGGGCTACGAACGGTGTGATCATTGCAACGGAAAAGAAGGCAACCTCTTCACTTGCCCTGTCGGAATCTCTCTCTAAAATAGCAGACATCACCCCCGATATCGGAGCTGCGTATTCTGGTATGGGTCCAGATTTCAGAGTACTCATCGATAAGTCACGGAAAGTAGCACATACCCATTACCACCGCATTTACAATGAGTATCCTCCAACCAAGATTCTCGTGGCAGAAGTGGCAAAAATCATGCAGGAAGCCACTCAGTCCGGTGGTGTTAGACCATTTGGTGTATCGCTTCTGATTGCGGGCCACGATGAACACAACGGTTATACTCTTTACCAGGTAGATCCATCGGGGGCTTACTTCCCTTGGAAGGCCACTGCGATTGGTAAAGGCTCCACGGCTGCAAAGACGTTTTTGGAAAAAAGATGGAATGATGAACTAGAGCTCGAAGACGCCATCCATATAGCACTTTTAACTCTCAAGGAATCTGTGGAAGGTGAATTCAATGGTGATTCTATTGAAATTGCAGTCGTAGGAGAGGAGAATCAGCATTTGTTAGGTTTTACAGGTGATGAGTCGGTGAAAGGTCCCCGATTCCGGAAGCTTTCAGCACAAGAGATCAACGACAGGTTAGAGGCTCTATAGCAGTAACTGTGAGTAAATTAAAATAAAATAGAAACAGATTGAAATTGGCGAGTAACAGGTCTTTTTTTTATGATTAACACATGCTCTCATGCAACGGAAGAGTGAGATTTCTATATACTGATTTCTGCATTCAGGCGAATTCATTTGAAGGGTGCTTTCAATGGATCGATGACCGTACCGCGCTTGGTCATGATTCTCGGCTTAATCATACGTTGATGAGAAGTGCGTGAGGTCCATTCTTGACCCAGGGGCATCCGTAATGATCTCTCGTATTGCTCCCTGCTCTCAAATGGAAATGGAACAGCAGAAGATTGGTACTTCATGTTTTTCTTGTTGACTTTCTCGTTGATGATCACATTCTTTAGGTTTTTGTCCTTACGCTTATCCTTTTCCACTGTGCCCTTAGTCGTTTTGAACTTGCGCTTCTTTGAAGGAGCGGCTCCTGCGCCTGCCCAATCGCCCCATCCGGGAAGTGTCACATCCTCTACTTTGTCGTCTTCATCGATAGCGACTCGTTTCTTTTCCTGTTGGAATTTGTCCACGACATCATCACCGGCAAATGCCTCAGCTATTACGTCCTGCTGTTTGAACATAAAGCCGTCGATATCTTCTTCTCCTTGAGCATGGGGATCAATTAAATTCATTTTGTTGGTACTGTCAACATCAAGAAGTTGTTCCTCGCTTCCAACGTGCTTCCCAGAAACATGTTTATCACGCTTGGCCTGCTTCTTAGCAATTTTGTTGGCACTTTTGGCAAGTTTTGAGCTGTTTTCATCTATCACATTAATCTTATTAGATTTCTTTCCTGAGGAATTGCCGTCTCCACCGTCAAGCCAAGGGTTTGATTCTTCAGTTTCATTGCTTTCTTTCGGTACCGATTTAGAGTTCTTGGCACGTTTCGCGTTATTCTCTTTGCCAGAACCTTTTTTCATTTGATTCACAAGGGACCTTGAATTGTCATTATCGAGCTCTTGCTTAGCGGCCTTATCGGCCTCCTCAGCTTCCAACCTACTTTCTTCAGTCCCCGGTGCATAAACCCTACGGCCGGCGTTGATAGATACCTTGGCTCCGTTGTGACTTTCGCTGGGTAAACCCGAGTCATCAAGGCCTGCTTCCATTTCTCTCAGTTCGGCTATTGATTCCCTATTGGCTTCGGCTCGTCTAGCTTCAGCATTCTTCATGAACGCCATATTCATGACTCCTGTCTTGCCAAGGTTTTCACGGAGCTTAGAGTCTTTGGAAGAGTTTCTATCGTTTTCTGAGTTCTCAATGTCACTAATCCCGCCATCACTCTCACTGCCAGACTCGTGTCCCACTACTTTAGCACGGAGACGTTCACCTTGTCTCAGCATTTCCTCCATTTCTTCCCTGGTCTCTTTGTCCTTCGTCATGCCATGTTTCACCATGTCTTTGGCCCATTTGGAAGAGGTCTTATGCTTCAATGTCATTCTCTCACGAGCTCTTGCAGCATCTCGCTCTGTGTCACTTTCCTCTTCTGACTCTTCTATCAGCTCCTTGTTCTTCAAAAGTTCCTTCTTTTTGATTCTATGATAGGCCTTCGACTTGATTTTCTTGATTCTCTTTGCCTTTCTTTCCTCACGGAACATAAGCTCTCGCATTAATCTGACCTCAGCGGTTCTTTTCCTCATCTCTTCAGGTGACATTTTAGCGGTAGCAATCTCCTCAAAAGTCGACTCCTTCTGCGGATCGGCCAGTTGACTGTCTTGCAACAACGAACCAATTTTTTGCTCAAGTTCTGTACCTGTAGCTGCACCTTCTGAAGGTTGAAACAACGTTACAGTATTGTGTTGCGTTTCGGGGTTAAGAGGGAACGACAAATGCTCCGCTTGTCTGTTCTGTTGCACGACGTCCCTCCACTTGTTGACCTCGTCCTTGGAAATCTCATAAGCGGCCTTACGATCGTGTCTTTGCTGGATTCGTTGCGGTAGCGGAACGTTGAGAGCCTCCACTTTGCCTTTTAAAAGACCCGCTTTCTCAATTGCTTCTTTGTCGTCCACGGCATTGACCATATCTGCAAGGTTTAGCTTCTTGTGATTATTTGAGAGCGATGGCAGAGCAAATTCATTCTCCTCACCTATTGCTGTGTTATCCAATCGACGGTACTGGTTTTTTTCTGTATCTTTGCGCAGTTTGGCTGTGATGGTTGACAGTTCCACGTCGTTGTCGTCTTCAGAAATCTCATCAAACGGATCTTCAGAGTCAGAGTCATCGTCTTCGTCATCATCTTCTTCGTCCTCATCATCACTGCTCCCTTCCTCATCGCTGGACTGCTCTGCGTTTTCTTGCTGTTCATCGTCCACGAGATTGAGAGAATCCTGAACCGAGCTGTTCTTTTCGTCCATGTCCCAAACCTCTGACAAAGGCAGCAGTTCTCCTTCATCTATTGAAGTGTAGCCGCCTTCGTCCTCATCATCCGAAAGCATTTCACTGTTCTTTCCACTCTTTTTGCGGTCCCTGAGGGTCTGAGAGAATTTGGAGTTCATGACATCAAATTCATCTTCTGAGCCAAGAGCTTCATCCGAATCGATCTCTTCGTCCTCAAACTTTTCGTCTCCGCTATCATCGTCTCCATCAGAGCCGTTTCTGTGAGGGTTTACCACAGTTCCGTTGCGATGTAAATCGTGTGAAAGTCCAGTTTCTGGGTCGCTGAAGCCGTCCAGCTCGCGCTGAGCTATCTCTAAAGCATTCTGCGCCCTTCTCCCTGAACTTTTGGACTTTGATTTGCGTGCCATGATCCCTAGATCCTTACTTCGAGCTTCAAATGTTGTAACTTCTTGTTAGCTCATCGCATCTCATCTCATCTCATCTCATCTCATCTCATCGCCTCTATTAGTAGGACTAAAATTTTCAGTGAGAAAACAATCACCACATACGAAAACACGAGATGATACAGTCTTAAGCGCTAAAGAGCGACAGCATCCGCACCAGCAATGGGGCCAAAATAACACGGTTAATTCGTTGCTTTATTCTAGATATCCTCGTCTGGCTTTCTTCAGTCCCTGTCACCTCTTCGCCAATGAAAACCTCTATGTTGAAGCGGTTTTCTGTTGCTGTTCGTGCATCATGATTGCCGCCTGGCGAATATGGCCCTCGATAGCCATAGAAGACTGACTTTTCTCTTTGATGATGTTCTGAATCTGGACCGATTCCTGGTTGAGTTTGGCGATCTTTTTGTCATAGAATGCGAGTGCTTCTGCTGCGGTTTTCTCGACATAGTAACCGGTTCCCACGTCGACTGTGAATTTTTGAGAGTCCTTCACGTAGCCCTTGACGTACAAAGAGCCAGAAAGAGGGACCAAAAGCTCTTGTTTGTGGGCTTCCAGCTTCTGCATAGACTCAATGTCGTCCTTGCACTCTCTGAATTTGGTTCTAGCCACATTCAGCGCTTGAAGGGACTGTGAAAAATGCTGCAATTCCTGATCGAATTGCTGTTTGACCATGGTCAACTGCTCTGGGTTCAATTTTGTGAGATCAACTTAGAACATTCGTTAGTAAAAAAGACATTGGGCTGAAAAAAATTGCCTGGTTTCTCAATTCATACTCTTTTGGGCGGACATAGCGGCTGGTTTGTATTGGATTTTGCTGATTGAACTATCATTGTAGAAGCTGTAATGGTATATAAGTCACTAGATCAGTTTAATTTATTACCAGGCTCTTACAGCCTTTCTCTTCAGTCACGTGTTTCACAAGAAAAGGCATATAAACGTTCTAGAGATGGTGTTTTGAAGCTGTGAATGATGTGAGCGTAATGATTCGTTTGAATTTTGATATAAAAACTTCTTCCTTTGGTAATTTTTCGGTAACTTCTCAGATAATTTTTGTTTTCTCTGCTTGTTTAATGTATGCGGGTTTTGCTGAGAATTCGTCTTGAGAAATGGTCAAAAATAGCCTATTCCCCCTATCAAGAGAACAGTGTTTGAAATTTCGTTGTCAACAAATAATCCATTCATCAATTGTGCGTTAAAGGGGGTTTTTCTCTTTGACTGGGAAAATTTGGAAAACAAAAAAGTCGCGTTAAATAGTTTTTGTAGTAGTCTCGACACCTTTTTAAAGCCCCAATCCCACCCTAACTGCTTTCTATCTGGAAAACTGTCTCAGAAACATATACAAATAGAGATTTCCATCATATTCTCATTCTAGTCTCTTTGTACGATTGTGTCATCTATCATTTCATGGTTTAAAGATCACTTCAATAATACAGAAGAACCTGATGATTACGCTGAAAGTATTCTTTCCGTAGCATTTCTTGATGGACGCGACCTTCCAAGCCGTTTATTTAACTCGGCATGAACAACAATTCGGCTTCTTTTAAGAGCATTCTCGCCGGAGTTCAAAAACTTCGCGATGCTCATAGCACAACCGATGAAAGTTCAGCCAATTCAGAGCCTGTAGCTGCTGAAGCCAGACCTATAAAGGCCCCTTCAAAACCTGCACCTGTTTCTAGCGGGGATGCACCAGTAGTAAATGCTTTCAACCAACGAAAAAATGAAGAAGAAGCTGCACATCAAGTTTCGCAAATCGAAGAGCGTAAACGCAAATGGTCCAAAGTATCGCCCAACCCAACTTCTGGAGCGTCTGGTCAGGGGAAAAACGTGCTTGTTAGCGTATCGCAACGCGGAAATCCACTATTGGGTAGTCTGACCAATACAAGCTGGCGCTATGTATCACCATCTGGAGGAAACAAAATATATTACGACTATTGCGTTCAAGGTCGCAACATAGTATTCTTATCGCTGAAATACCACAAACTGCATCCAGAGTACATTTCTAAAAAGATCCAGCCACTGGTGAAGCTCAAAAATAATGTTCTGATATGTGTCGTCGACGTGGAACACTCCGAAAACATTCTCAAGGATCTCAATAAAGCATGTATGTTCAACGGATTTGCACTTTTGCTTGCCTTTAACTTCGAGCAGGCTGCAAAATATATTGTTTTCATGAACAAATGATTGTCAAATAGAGGGTGGCGGCGGGGATTATGAGTAGCTTCAGGTATACTCAGCTGTCTTTGACCAAATCCGTCCCGTGCTTATTCCCGTTCTTGGTCATTTTGGCACTCTTCGCACCAAATTGAATTGCACGTTTAGGCTCTGTGGAGATATCTGCTAGCTGCAGTTTTTCCTCTGCAAGCTTTCTCAAAATCATTTTGTTTATCTTATAGTTGAGAGGCAGTTTTGTTGAAAACTCGACGACGGTTTCGTCCAAAAATGGGTAACGTACTTCCACACCATTTGATGCCAATACTTTATCATCTCGGCTCAAGTTTCGGTCATGGATATTGTTGATTTGTCGTTCGAGCTCTGCCACAAGCTCATTTTTCGATTTGTTGACGAGTTTATGGTACCCGCCGTACAATTCATCAGCGCCTAGACCGCTGAAAAGAACAATTCCCTGTCTATTATATGGGACTCGACAACCAGATTTTTCGTCTGATAGAAAGCCGCTGCCTTTGGCTGCGAAAAAAAAGGCAGCTGCGATCGACAGGTCCATTTCCGTTTGCTTGGGATATATCAGATTCAATATTCCGGGCCTGTGTTCCAAATACTCTGCATAATCGACGTCCACTTCAACAAAACGCATATCAATTTCGGGAAATAACTCACGCAATGTCTTGAAGGATTGCCGCCCGAGAACGCGGTCTGGTACATCGTTCGGCATCATGCCTGTTCTCTGATTTTCAAAGCCCACATTCAAAAGCTCAACAGCCGTGTTGAGTCCCAAAGTCTTGATTTGCTGACAAAGGAGTGCGGCGATGACAGAGCAGTCTAATCCTCCAGAAAACAGAATGGAAATAGGACTGTTTTCTACATGCAAAGGGTGGATTGTCTGCAGTCTGCATTTCACAGCATTATCGAGGTGGAAAAACAGTTTATCGATATTACCTGGTAAGTCAATTAGTTCAGGGTCTTCCTCGTTTGTCACCACAAAGTTTTCGGCCTTGATTGTTATGTCCGCGTTCAGTGTGCCTTTCGATTTGTCATAAACGTAGACCACACCAGCGTGGCAATTTTCGAATCCTTCGCTTTTGCCAGTTACGCTGCAAATGGTCAGTTCTTGATTTTCCTTGTCCAAACGGAAGCTCAAGCTTCGCTTCCCAATGGGGTCTCTACCGAAAAACACCTCTTGCGTGAGTCTATCATAAATTGTATACGCGAATTCGCCCTCAAGAGACTTGATGACATGTAGAACGTCTTCATGTTTGCAAAGCTGGTCTACAATCCATTGTGTATCATTATGGAGAATTGAAGAATTATAGCATTCACCGTTGTACTGGAGAACAAATCTGTCTTCAGCAACAATGCTCTGTTTAGTCAATGGTTCTCGCAGCGATAAGACCGACGAAAACCACAGCATCTTGTCATCATTCGATAACCTCAATGATGCGTAGTTGGGTCCTCTTTGAACCACCAATGGTATTATATTCTTTAAATTCTCCCATTCAGCGCTACAACTCTCGAGCTTTTTCCTAGAAAGCTCATCTTCGCTGAACTCACTAATAGAGCTTTCAATATTGGCATTGGGGCCATAGCAATGCGCCAGAATTCCACACATTCGCTCTTGTCTACTTTCATTATCTGGTTGATGTCTTATAAGAAGCGATGAGCTTTAATATATTGACAATTTTACTTCAAATTTAAGGTCTCATCCAAAGCCTCAAGACAATCATTTGAGAACATGGAAGGGTCTTCACAGAGCGTATCAAACTCTCTGCCGGTAATAGCATCGAAGGCAGACAAAAAGACAGATCTCAATGATGGATTGCCGGCTCAAAATGATGAAGAAGAGCTTGTCTACGACTTCCAAGCTTTTATTGCACAGTTGAAGGACCCACAGGCAGACCCCATTCTTAGGTATACACGGTCGTTTTTGAATAATTTTACTACAAAGAAGGGTCTTTGGACGTGTGAGGAACAGCAAAAACTGATAGATGACTTCAAGGTCTTCGTGTATGGAAAACTAGTGTTGTATGAGCCTTTCAAGTCTCTCGATGGTGGCAAGCTGCTAAACGCAAAGGAGGGGATCGAAAAGCTGATTATGGGGAAGCTTCACAATCAATGCTTTTCGCCCTGTGTTGAAAATCGATTCCACGAAAAAATGGACGCAAGCCACCGAAAAGACTTGGAACGCGACGAGGAGTTAAGGCTGAAAAGGGACGAGTATAGCTTTATTGAGCCCGAAATGCTGGAAATACCCAAAACTCTCTCACAGCGTCTACATAAGTTCACACGACTCGCGGGAAGAGAACTGGTTCGCATCAACGAGTACAAAGCGCCCCGTGACAAAATGGTATGTGTGCTTAACGCATGCCGTGTTTTGTTCGGGTTTCTAAAACACTCGGGGCTTGAAAATGGCGGGGCCGATGCTTTCGTCCCAGTTCTCGTGTACACGCTGCTGAAAAGTGACGTGCACAATTTGTTTTCGAATCTAAATTATACAGAGCGGTTTCGATTCTCGGAGTTTCTTCGCGGTGAAAGTGCATACTATTTGAGTAGCGTGCAAGGAGCAGCCGATTTTGTTGCGCATTTGGGACGTGATTCGCTTCACATACCGGATAAACTCGTATTTGAGGAACAGTACACTCAACATCAGGAACTCCTGGAACAGAAACAAAACCTCATGAAGCAACCCGATACTAGTGCCATTTCGGAAGCTGGTGCCTCGAAGGAGATGGCGCAACCTACTAGTCATACTCCTGCGCCCTCTGAGTACATTCGTCGACCTCTTGACGAAGCAACTTCCGCTATCATATCCAAAGTTTCCGAGCTGTTCGTCTCCTCTCCTCCCGCTGAGACCACGGGTGTTCAGAGGGAACAAGCTTCTGCGATTTCCCAGCTGGCGGATGAAGCCGACCCTGCTGTCCTTGCACAGGAGTTGGAAAAACAGGAAAACCAGCGTGTTTTAGACGAACTGCACACAATGTTCCCAGACATGGACCAGGATCTAATACACGACGTATGTGAAGCCACGAAGTACCGTATCGGTGTGTGTGTTGATGTTTTACTGACGTTGTCGTCCTAAGACCTTCCATCAGCTCGAAACCCCGTGACCCAAACCCCGTGATCCAAACCTCGTGACCTCGAGTACACAGTACTCGTGAAACGACGTTTGTTTTTTTAAACGTCGCTCAACTATTACTTTTTCACCGTCACTAATCGCTAATACCAACCACACTGCTTACGAAGAACATCGAATTTTCCAGGAACAAGACAGGCTGTTCATCAAGATCAGAAATTGAACGAGCTGGAAGTATAAAAAGGATACGATTACTGCAGTTTTTCGAACTTCTTAGTCAAATTTTCGAATCCAGCGTCCAAAGTTTCCCATAGTTCGTCATCATCATGAAAGTAGCATCATGGACAGCTGGCTTGCTAGCGGTAGGTCCGTTGCTAGCGCGGGCTGAGATAGAACAGCCCAGTATGCAAGAAACGACAAACTTCTGCAAAATGGACAAGGACTCGCTGGTGGGCTCTAGTTGCGACGTTACTTTCACGGAAATCAACGACATCAACCAGAAAATACGGCAAGATCTGCTGTCATTAGTGCACAGCGATTTTTTCAAATACTTCAAACTCAACCTGTACAAGCAGTGTCCCTTTTGGAGTGACAATAACGGATACTGTGTAAATCGGGCGTGTGCTGTGGACGTTATCGAGGATTGGGATCAGCTGCCAGAGTACTGGCAGCCCGAAATCCTGGGAGGGTTTGCCAACGAAAGTGTCAGTGCCGACAAGGCACGCGATGATGAATGCTCGTTCTTGGATCAACTTTGCGATAAATCTTTCGGCCAACGAGGCCAAAAGGGCCCTGATATCGAGTACTGCGATGTCGAAGACTTCGATCACGACGAATCGGTGCTGGTAGACCTCACCGCAAACCCCGAGCGTTTCACGGGGTACGGTGGAGAACAGTCGTCACAGATCTGGTCCAGCGTTTACCGCGAGAACTGTTTTTCTGTGAACGAAACCGGCCAGTGTTTGGCCAAAGACGCATTTTACAGATTAGTGTCTGGTTTGCATGCCTCGATAGGTACCCATCTCTCTAACGACCATTTGAACACCGAGACTGGCCAATGGGGGCCCAATCTCGAGCTTTTCATGCTTCGTGTAGGCAATTTCCCAGACAGAGTGGCAAACATTTATTTCAATTACGCCGTGGTGGCCAAAGCGCTTTGGAAAATCCATCCATATCTTTCGCATCTCGGGTTCTGCAACGCGTATCATGAAGACGTTAATTCCATGATCACCAGCGTTGTATCGAGCCTTGACTCCAAGATTTTCAACGAAGACCTTTTATTCCACGACGACATCAGCTCAAAGCTCAAGGACGACTTCAGGTCGAGATTCAAGAATGTGACCAAGATTATGGACTGTGTGCACTGTGATAGATGCAGACTTTGGGGTAAAGTACAGACTACAGGTTACGCAACGAGTTTGAAAATCTTGTTTGAAATCGATTCAGAAAATGAAGACGTGAAGCAAACCATTGTTGACAAGCTAACGAAATATGAGCTGATCGCTCTTTTCAACACTTTTGACAGACTGTCCAAGAGTATTGAATCTATCAACAACTTTGAGAAAATGTACAATGACAGTTTGTTGACAGCTAGCGACAGAATCTTGGCACGTTTCAAGGGAAACAACTTTTTCAAACTTCTCAGTAACGCTGGCAAAAGCTTGAGCTCTTCATTGAAGGATAGGGTGAATGAAAATCAAACAGGAAATGTAAGCACAGAGGGAATCGATTCGGAAAAGTCTAACATGGAATCCGTCAAGAATCATACCGATGAGATCAAGGCAGCGCTGGAAAATGTTATTCCAGAGAGTACGGATGTTGGTATTACCAACTTCACCAACTCTGATTCTGCTACACATGATAACGTTACAGAAGAAAGCTTCGTGCGTGTCAAAGAAACTAATGACAAAATAAACGAGACCATTGCTACCGAAACGCAGGAAACGAAGAGCACATCAAAGATTTTTGAAGATGTGGTCATGCCATCAAAGAAGCCTGTCGTCAAAAAAGAAGTCGAGGGTAACAGCTGGAGCAAAGCGTGGACGACCGAAATGGGCAACGTGAATGAGGCGCTGCGGTTCATTTTCAGAAGTTATCTGAACTTTCCACGAACCCTAGCAAGAATGGCCCTATACAAAATGAACAACTTATGGAACTCTTTTGTCGGGGTTCCTCGTTACGTGAACGATGTTGACCCGGAAGAGCCTGCTTATAAGTTAAACATCCAGTAATCATGCATGAACGAGCCACGGGGATATATCCTAATCGCTATTGGAGGAAAGCTTTAGTGCGCATTGATGTGTTTTGTGGAGGTCAATACGACACCCGAACATACAGCCTGCCTTGGAGTATCGTTGCCTGGTGTGTGGTTCCGAAACTGTTGAAAGAAACTTCTTGATCGAAGTCCATTTTTCTTCACCATTAGATACATGTACATAAGCAAACTAACTCAATACCGTTAGGAGAGTCAATTATGGTCAGGTCTTGTTCTGGCACTTTAAATTAACTGCTTCAACCCTTGTTGATTGTCTCTGGGTTTTACTTCTGATCTTGTAGATCTGCAGCTTAGAATGCTTTTGGTGACATTTAGAGCTCGTAATTCCATTAATCGGCAGTCTCAAAGCTCGAAGAATCAGTCAGACATAGGAAGATTCAGTGAGCCACTGATAATCGAAACACGCTTAAATATTGTTTTGAATGACGAAATATAGAAATTTGTTCTACACCGATGTGAGGCTGACGAGCTTAATTGTGTATTTCATTGAATTCCCGCAGACGCTTTCGGGCTCGATGATTAAGATGTGAGTTAGGAGTGTCCAAATTAAATTATCGTCTTGGATCCCTGCATTAACGTCATAGAAGCTCATTTTAACTAGCGTCTCAAAATGAGAAGCTGTGCGAAAATCTCTTTCAATGCCTGCTGTTTCCTCAATATTTGGAGGAATTAGACTAAGCTCCCAAGTTCACGTCGTCCAGCAAAATTTTCTGGGCTTGGTTTGCAATCAGCGGGGCTAACATACGGAGAGATCAGGCCTTTCCGCATATCAATTCATTATAGGCTACCTTTTTGGTTATTTCTTCTTATTCTGAACTTTTGGATTTCCTTGATTATCCGACCGCCCTCACGGTTAGTATATGAAGAACTTTGAACTCAAATCAGCTTGTATTTTTGAAGCCCCGATGCTTCACATTGGCAAAGATACATGTCTGTGCTGATGAATATGTAAACCAATGTTTTGTAGCGTCATCGGCCTTTATTCTGAACCATGTAGGAGAGTTTACCTCATAGTCCCACAGCTTTCCACTTATAGATTAAAGTAAAGGAATTCTTTGGTCAGTTGATCAAAGATGTTTGTCGTTGGGCCCAGGAAAGTTGCATATCTGTTGCTATGCAAGGTCAATCGTCGAAAATGTCTACCAGTAAAGATCCCTGCCTGATGGCAATTGGTGGTGACACACTAGGACGCTGAACCGAACTCTGCAACCAAATAGATGATTCTCAACTGCTAGCAGTGCCAGCAATGGGTCCATATTTTGTGAAGCGTGGTTTCCCCACATGCAGTGCCAGCAGTGCATGCAAGCGGTTTTGAAACTTCACGAAAGCCACTTTCCGATTTAAAGACTCAAATCTCGAGTTTGAAAACCTCCGCTCAAAGTTTCTCGTCCTGGCCCTTTTTCTTTGTTTTTCTTCTTTTCTTGGCGGGCTCCTTCTTCTCATTCTTTAGGTCTCCTCTTTCGCCGTCTTGATCGTCATCTCCATCGTCCTCGCCATCATCGTCGTTGAATTCGCCCATACCTTTTGCTCTTTTTGCCATTTTGCCCTCCGACGACTTGAACAGCTTGTTAGCGTCAGTGATAATCTTGCTTAACTTGATCAGTTCCTCCGCTCTTCCAAGTTTCACTTCGTCATTCCGCAAAACAAACTTGAAGTCCTCTACCTTGATCTTGTTTCTATGTACCGTTTGAGCCGTTCTATAGGCAGACATACATATATCTACTAGATAACTTGATACTAACTCGTCCAAACAATGAACAGACTCCGGAAGCGGCTGAGGCACGTCTCCATAAGCATACATCAAAGCAGAAACATCCTTGCTGAAAAGATGGGTCTTTTTAAGCCTTCTCGACATCGTTTTTACCGGCTTTTTATACTCTTTTCAAGATATAGTCAAAGTTGTTAAACTTTGATGATCTTTAAAGCTTTTATTGACTATTTTGACATTTTAAATTGGATTTATAGCGATGAGCTTGAAAAACATTAGGATCAGCAAGAGCATCGAAGTCATCGCGATTTGTAAAATTAAAGGTTTAAAAGCGCTTAGGAATTGATTTAGGAGGTAGACGCATGAAAACGGGAACCATAAGAAAAGACGGGAAACCCAAAGATACCCGTCGAGCTAAAACGTTTACCGGTTGCTGGACTTGTAGAGCCCGAAAGATAAAATGTGATTTACGGACACCAGGTTGTGCTAGATGCGAAAAATCCGGGTTCCGTTGTGGTGGATACGATATAAAGCTACAGTGGTCGCAGCCAATACAGTTCAATGCATATGGACAAGTTGTGCAGAATACAAACACAGCGGGCTCGTCAGCGGGATCCGATGAGCCATCGTCACAACGACGAGATATAGCTTTTGTGAGATACAAAGAGGAGTACGAATACTACGAAGATATGGACGAGGAGTTGTCGATGCTGCATTCACCGCCTTTGAATCGTATCGCGGATAATCAAACGTGGGTTATCAAGAAGTTCGCGGTTTTCCGAGGAACCGACAAAGTGAAGGTAAAACACGTCCCACGGCGCCAGAGACGTCGTGTTTTTGACCGTTTGGAGTCAAAAAGTGACTCCTCTAAGTCTGCAACTCGAGCTGGAAATAAACCCTTGGAACTTTTGGGTACAAAAGACGCTTCTGTTAGCAGCACACTCTCTCATTCAGATCTTGTAGACAAGTTCGAAGCAGAGCCCACAATACAAAAAACTTCAAGCGTCGCAAATCTTTTCAATTTTGATTTTTCGTCAGCGAATTTCAAGGGTCACGAATGGATCTCTGATGAGCTGCGAGACGACGCCTTACTTTCGGCATATGCAATGCAGGGTTTTGCCGGAGATGGCGCCAATCATTTGCAACATGAAAATTGCCAGCAGACATCACTTGCCAATACTCCGCTTAGATCAACCCAGGACCTTTTTGACGATCAGTTCTCTCAATCGGGATCTGTGGAAAAAGAAGATCTGTCGCAAGTCTACAAGATTTTATTTCACAGAAACGAAGACCGATCACGCCCAAAGAAGGTCTCGACGAATTTGACTGTTGGAAACCACACAAAGCGAAAGTCAACAGTCGTACCTCTCAACAACATAATATTGATAGATTCAGCTGGTTCTGAAGGTTGCATGCCAAGAGAGGTTCTAGAGGTCGTACCATCGGAGGTCCCCGATCCTAGTATTTTCAACCTGCCGAACAACAATAACCCACTTCTGCGCGTACCGACTACAGGGCTAAAATCGAACGGCCTTACGAGATTTCTTCTCAATTACTACCTTCAGAATGTGGTAGATCTTATGACCGTCGTAGCACTACCAACCAATCCATGGCGAACAATATACTTTCCGCGCGCGTTGCAAGCCCTCGGTGATCTTGCAGGCATAGGATACACGTCAAACTCTAGGAACTCACTCCTGAATGCAATTCTAGCAGTTTCGTGCTTTAATCTCCAGAGTAAATTTCCAAAGAACTCCCCACAGATGAAGTACTTTCTACATCTAGGCATTGAGCTCAGAGGGCAGGCTTCGGAGTTTCTCAAGACATGCTTAAACTCTACCGTGAAGGAAGAAAGATATAAGGACATCGTCACAGCTATTTTGTCGATGAACTCGATAGACGTCGTATGGGGCACTATGGCAGACTGCCAGTACCATCTCAGCTTATGTGAAGAACTGGTAGAAGAACGAATGAAAAGTAGACCCAAAATTTCAGAAAAGGCAAGATCTTTGCATCGCATTTTCTCTTTCTTGAAGCTCATTCAAGATAGCACGGCTTTGGATAAAGTCACTGAGAAAGAGATAGTGCTGAAAAACACTGCTTCGGAAGACTCGCAAGAAAATGAAGAGGAGGTTGGAAGTCCGGATATAGGTGGCGGGGAGTTCAAAGAAGCGTTGGATCAGGTAAATGGTCGCATTCGCATCGAATACGTCCGGCTTTCGAATTCCAACGCCAGTACGCCTATTTTCACCGACATTGCGAGTCAGAACTATTACTATCCGCATGGAACCACGAAAAACAACTCTATATTGAGCACTGATGCGCTTTATGGTCTCCCGAACTCGATAATACTATTATTCTCGGACTGTGTGAGGCTTGCGCGTCACCTCGAGTACTTTCGGACGCATTCTCAAGAAATACCCAAGAGTTTTGACGCCTTGTGCACCAGTTTCGAGGCCAAACTATTCAATTGGACGTCCGAATGGGATTTTCACAAGCCAGACACCGATGAATTTTTGAACGACACCGTCGAGGGCGTTTACCACCACACCATGAGTTTTTACCAGAGTTTGATCATATACTATCGCACCCGAGTGAAAAACTGCCCGAACAGCGAGGTTCAAATCAATGTGGTCCAAGTGCTGAGCCACTTGGACAAGCTCGCAGGTCTAATCGAGACTAAAGGTATAAGTATCGTGCCTCTCATATGGCAAGGCTTTATGGCTGGCTGTGCCGCAGTAGACACGGAATTGCAATTACGGTTCAAGGAATGGGCTGCAAAACTTGCAGACTCAGGAATGGGTGCTTACTGGGGAGCAAGACAGATAATGTTCGAGGTTTGGAGACGACGTGTGAACGGCGAGACGTCTGATAATTGGTTCGATGTCTACAAAGATTGGGAGATGAACTTGATGCTCTCGTAGCACAGGGAAACAAAGAAGAGAGAACTTCGATACGGGATATCAATGGGCTGCTCAAACTGCTTCAAATGCTTCAAATCGCTCGAGAGACACATCTCTCTTCCGGATAAACGTTGTAGATCCCGAGCCATGTGACGTTCAAATTACCAAAAGGGAAAGTACCGAGTACTTTCAAGAGGCCTTGTAGCTCAATAAAGGGTCGGGTCAGTGATGATGTCGAGAAAACATATAAATACAAGGACACATTCAAGTTCTTGAACTGATCTTTACTTACTTCTTCAACAATTGTAACTATTCAAAACTTTACTTTGGTGAGCAGTCAATACTGAGTGTTGTTTTACACACCATATACACATTTACACATATATAATTAGAGCTATGGGCGTACTTAACGTTGGAATTGTTGGCACAGGAATCTTTGCCAAGGAATCGCATCTTCCAGCATACCAAGCGTTGCCGGATAGTTTTCAGGTTAAGGCTGCTTTCAATAGAACCAAAAGCAAGGCTGAGGCATTTGCTGAAGATGCCGGGATCGCCAAGGACAAGGTTTTCGACAGTTTGGACGAGATCTTGGCCGACGATTCGGTCTCGATGATCGATGCTCTACTTCCAGCACAGTTCAACGCCCAAACAGTGGAAAAGTGCATAGCCGCAAGAAAACCGGTGATTTTGGAAAAACCCATTGCGGCAACCATGGCAGAGGCAAAAAAGCTAGTTCAACTAGCAGATTCGACCATTTTGCCAATTGCAATTGCTGAAAACTGGCTTTTTTTGAAAGCCGGTGATGCTCTTAAAGAGCATTTGGCTGACATTGGCCCACTCGTGGCGTTTACTTACAATTCTACGGGCCCTTTTGTCAAGCACAACAAATATTTGGCCACTACGTGGAGACAAAAGCCCGAGCACATTGGTGGGTTTTTGTCGGACGGTGGTGTGCACCAATTGGCGCTTCTGACCGATGTTTTGGGCGAGGTGGAGTCTGTGAGTGCCTTTACCAAGCAGGTTCGCAAAGAGTCTGGAACCGACGACGTGGCGTTCTCCACCATGAAAATGAAGGAAAACGAATTGATTGGTACCTTCACTTACGGCTCTGCTTTTGGATCTTGCGAAAAATCGGTATATTTCAAGGTTTACGGCCTGAACGGAGCTGTCACACTCAACCTTTCAGACAAGAAAAAGCCATTTATCACGAAAACCGTCGGAGACTCAGCAGAAGCTGACGCAGAAACGCAGACGATTCCAATTGATGAACATCCATCATTCGGAATTCAAGAAGAGTTTTTGAATTTCCACGAGGCTATCGTCAAGAAGGAAAAGCGCGTCGTTAGAGGCACGCCAAGAGTGGCTTTCCATCATTTGGCTTGTGTTGCTGCCGTTCTTGACTCTTCGGCGAAAAACGGAGCCAACGTTACTGTCGAGCAGCCATGAATAGCTTGAGCTAGAAAATTATGGTTAAATTTATGATTCAATGTATAGATGAATGTGAGCGTTTGAAATGTAACATGTACAGATAGTTTAATCTTGTTAACGCAATAAATGCAGTTTTGGGAATGTTTTGAGAGGCCAAGAGGTTAAAATGAAAACGGCCAGCGACCGAATCAGATACGTGAGACGTAATATTCTTGCAATGGGAACTTTGTTAGATTCCACTTCTTTTCTGCCAAGTGTCAGGTCAATCAGGTCAGCATCATACTAGGTGGGCCCGGCGAAATCCGGAAAAACACTCGAGAGCTTCCTCTCTCAAAAAGATCACTGGTTGTCATGGATATATGCGGCGAAATCTAGAATTGGCAGTTTTTCCGTGGGCCTCGAGACTTACAAAGGCTGGCATCGGCTCTTAACGACAAGACCGGAAAGTTTTGGTCAAGAATGAGATTTCAGTGTAGTCTAATTTTGGTTGGGTTTGGGTTTGGGTTGGGGTGATCAATTGAAGTTCTGTATTTGCACAGCTCAATAGCTTCGCTAAGAAAGAAGAATCGGGTTCTCGTTAAACGGGTTTACATTTGGGATGATTTGTTGCAATTGTTGTGCATTTTGATCTTTTTTGAGTACTTTAGCCGTGAACTTGGTATAAGCAGATTTCGTTACTCAGGAGCATCGTGGTGAAACAACCGTTTCCTATCCTGGATGATATGTTGCGTTGAGTTTGAGTTACCAATCTTTTGAAATATAGCAGATACTTTAAAGTCTCCGATTTGTTCTTAGTGCCCCGAATATGATTTGATGGAAGAATCAAACTGTGTCCGTATATACAATTTTACTAATCGTTTCGCCATAAACGGAAGTGAGCAGCAATCACTGCCGTCGACGTGATGTAATGATTAATGGGACCGTTTTCAGAGTGCTTGGAGTAATACAATTCGTTGCCCGTTGTATCATAGGGACTAGGAACTTAAAGTTTGGATGGCTCAAAGCTGAACGTTGTTGTCGATTCTGACGCTGTCACGTATCACGTGACGATAAACCTTATTTGATGCTAGAGCTTAGAGATGGATCTTACAAAAGAAGAACATTGTAAGAAGACCGATTGTGACAAACGGAAGGGCCTGCTAATAAAGCAGTGGGGGGGGTCATTACCAGGGACTAGTAAATTTGCATGTTTGTGGGTATCCCGAGCGTCACTCTTGTCGACAGCGTCTTTTCTGTCACTATTGCCCAGAATGTCGTTTAAAATGATTGATTTTTAACTAATCAGTCATGTTCAACGGCTAGTAACTATATACGGAATGGATCCTTAATGGGATAACTCATTTATAGTTTTGAATTCTGTGGTGGATTTCAAGCGAGGTATAAAGTCGCGGAGAGAATGCACGAACATTTCGAATTCGCTACAACATTCAAAGCTAATGGCAATAAATCATATAGATTGTTATTGTTTTTATAATTACCGTTTCGCGTGATTTTGACATATAAAAATGGATCCCAGAGTGGATCCCAAAGTGGATCCCAAAGTGGATCCCAAAGTGGATCCTAAATTGTGAAAATCAGGTACTTTTCCGATACTTAGCTCCACACTAAATGATCCCGATTTTATTCCAATAGTCACTTGCCCGGACGTCAATTGGGATTCCACTATACATGTCTATTAGCTAAATTAGCGAATCCATGTTCGTATTTGACGACAACAGCCGCGAATCTTTGGACTCGCCAAATTCGTCCCTCAGCCACCCAAACATCTCTCCACCCACACACCACCGGCAAGTTTTCTTCTCCGCTTCCCGAAGCCATTGTTTTCCCCTTCCCCTTATAATTTCTTTTTCCTGCATCTGTTTTTCATATTTCTTTTTTCCTTTTTGATTTCTTTTTTCCTTTTCTTTTGCCTTTCCTTTTTTCCCCCTGTAGCGCCGTAAAAAATAACCTCATCGCCAAAACAGCCGTTTTTGCCTCCAGAAAACATGCGGCGCTAGGATCGCTATGACCCACCTACTATCCCATCCATTGGCCAGTAACCTCGTTGTCTTACCAGCCTGAAAAACTTCCTCAACACGTCTAGCGAAACCTTACATCACCACAATCGCTCTTGGCCGGGCTTATCGTGACGATGCAGAAACTGGAATACTCACATCCATCGCTCGCTAAAGTTAGCCGATTTTTTATATAAAGCCTTACACACTCTTGACCAAAACTTTCCTTTGGTAAGGCCTGTAAAACGCAGAATTTGTGTTTAGTGTGTCTTTAAAGCATAAAAACAGCGAAGAAGGAAGTAGTACTCAGAGCCAGTCCTCTTCTCTTATTTTTCATGGCTGACACGCTCAAAAAGGATAGCACGCTTGCCCGTGTGGAGAGCTATGAGCTTTCCGGGTCAGTCCGGGATATCACCAATTACCCAACTCAACATTCCGATGACACAGAGACAGACACTGAAAAGGCCACCAACAAAGCAGCATTGGGTGGAGCTGATGAAGGTACACCAGAAGCAGCAGCGGCAGCTGCCGCTGCTGCTGGTGTGCCACGCGACGTTCAGCGGGCTCTACAGCCTCGTCATGTTTCCATGATTGCCCTAGGAGGTACTATTGGAACCGGGCTGTTCATAGGTATCGCTACTCCTCTGACCAATGCCGGACCCGTCGGCGCTTTGATCTCCTACATTTTCATGGGAACGCTGGCGTACTCAGTGACACAGTCGCTCGGGGAAATGGCCACTTTCATCCCGGTGACATCGTCTTTCACGGTCTTCACGCGTCGGTTCATTTCCCCCGCGTTCGGAGCCGCCAACGGCTACATGTACTGTTTCTCGTGGTGTATCACTTTTGCGCTGGAACTCTCGGTGGTGGGCCAGATCATCGAGTACTGGACATATGCGGTTCCTAACGCCGCGTGGATCATCATCTTTTGGCTTCCGCTCACACTGTCCAACCTGGTCCCCGTCAAGTTCTACGGAGAGTTCCAGTTCTGGATCTCGCTGGTGAAAGTACTGGCCATTGTAGGGTTTCTGATCTACTGTCTATGCATGGTGTGCGGTGCGGGCGTTACTGGGCCCGTCGGGTTTCGGTATTGGCGGAACCCGGGACCCTGGGGTGACGGAATTGTGGCCAAGAGTCTGCCTAAGGGCCGATTCCTCGGCTGGGTGTCTTCGCTGATTAACGCTGCATTCACATATCAAGGAACGGAGCTGGTCGGAATTAGCGCCGGAGAATCGCGGAACCCGCGCAGAACCGTACCAAAGGCCATCAACAAGGTTTTTGTGCGGATCCTGCTGTTTTACGTTGGATCTCTGTTCTTTATTGGCCTACTGGTCCCTTACAACGACTCCAAACTGACTCCGGACCCTAACGCTCCAACGGCATATGTGGCTAGTTCGCCCTTCATCATCGCTATCGAGAACTCCGGAACCAAGATCCTGCCCGATATCTTCAACGCCGTGGTGCTGATCACCATTATCTCTGCGGCCAATTCTAACGTATACATCGGATCGCGTGTGTTACTGGGGCTGGCCAAAGAACGTCTTGCGCCCCGGTTTTTAATGCGTGTCAACCGTTTCGGAGTTCCGGACTTGTGCGTCGGCGTAATTTCGGTGTTCGGCTTTCTCGGATACCTCAGTGTATCTAACGGGTCGCAAACCGCATTTGATTGGCTATTGAATATCACGGCTATTGCCGGATTCTTTGCCTGGCTATTTATCTCGCTGTGTCACATCCGCTTCATGCAGGCGCTTAAACTACAGGGCATATCTCGGGACGACCTACCGTTTAAGGCCAAATTCATGCCCTATGGCGCGTACTACGCGGCTTTCTTTGTCATTCTGATCATTTTCATTCAGGGATTCACCGCGTTTGCGCCACACTTCAACGTGTCGGACTTTTTTGCCGCGTACGTCAGTTTGATTCTGTTTGTGATTGTGTGGATCATCTTCCAGTGCATTTACCGGTGTCGTTTTATCTGCCGTCTTGAAGACGTGGATATTGACTCTGATCGTCGCGATATAGACGCGATGGAATGGGACGACGAAGAACCGACCACACTGTGGGGTAAGTTCTGGGCCGCTATGGCATAGGCGTTTGGCGTTTGGCGTTTGGCGTTTGGCGTTTGTAGCGTGTAAGACGCGTAAGGCGTGTAAGACGCGTAAGGCGTGCTTGTATATTAATTGTGTATACTGTAATTTTCTAATGCATTGATCTTTTCAAGAGGTGGGGGGAGCATTGGCTCCAGTAAGGGTTTGTTTACTAGCTAGCTTGTTAGTTTGTCAGATTGCTTGCTACTTGCTTGCTTGTCAACTCTTTAAAAAATGTCTGCAAATATTCAATTTACGTACTCGTGTATTCAATTGCGCGAACGGAAGGGCCATTTCGCCCTCTTCTCTCACCCTTTCGAGTTATCACTTTTGTAAGTCTCTACTCCCCCACTCGAATGGTCCCCTTACAACAAACTCTATATTCAAACAACGCCATACCTCACGTTTCTCTGTACACGTAAGGACCAGGTCTCTCGGCACACTCAAAAGTCATTTTTGTCAATAGTTTCCCATCTTGATACAATTCCGAAGTGATGACGTCGTTGGGATGAAGTTCGCCCACTCCAGCAGGCGTTCCGGTCAAAACCAAGTCTCCCGCTTCAAGCGACATCATCGTGGAAATGTGCTGCACGATTTCATGCAATGGGATCAGCATCAAACCGGAAGTGCCATCTTGTTTGGTAACTCCGTTGATCTCACACTTGAGTCTGAAAGAGTCCTGCAACCGTGTTGGTTCACTGAGCTTACTTTTGGGGATGAACCCTGAGATTGGTAGAAAAGTGTCAAAGCCCTTCCCAATGGACCATGGCAACCCCTTTTTCTTCGCTTCATCCTGGACATTACGGGCGGTAAGGTCTAGCGACAGTGCGATACCAGAAATTGAGTCGTAAAGTTCTTTGGGTCCAAATGCTTCTTTGGAAGCGTTGGAAACGTTCTTCCCCATGACAAGCGCTAGCTCAACTTCATGGTGCACTTTCACGCCGCGCGGAATCAGGATTTTTCCCGGGTTGGATCCATCTGCTTGAAGACCTCTAAATGTAGACACACCGGGTCCTGTGTTTTCGGCAGAACCTCTGGTTTGTGGTGGGGTTACCACACTCGAGCTGGGCTTCAAAAAGAAGAAAGGCTGTTTGGGGACGGGGTTATTCAGCTCTTTAATGTGAGCAGCATAATTTCTGCCGATGCAAATAATCTTCCTAACTCCTTTGAGATAAGAAAAGTCCATAATGGTACGGACCTTTGGTGGAGGAAAGAAAATCTGTGTTGAAGCTTAAGATCGCTGTCATTCATCAAATAAGACATCCAGAATTTAGAAATCGTTAATCACTTTCTACGTATACATATCCAAATTAATCAAACTGTGAATATTAAACCTTCCATCTTTCGATAAGCACAAAGGATAGACTCGGAAGCATAAAGAATCCTTACCAAACCTACGTTTCAGAGTTTGCAAACACTCCCAGAACTGCTCAACTTTCATATACATAGCTTCTCTTCCATATTAGTTAACGTTCTTTTGTTGCAGTGCTACACTAATTTATATAAGTTCGCATGATTAGAGCCGCTGTGTATAGTTCTCCTGCTCTTCATTCCTGCAGAATTGGGATCTTTAGTCGCTGCAATCAGTTCAAATAGTCAATTTTCCTGAAGGGCAATCACGAATTAAACGCCAAACTCAACAGATTAGGAAAAGTCGCCATTTTGTAGTGTCTGGTGCTTACATTAGTTGATGCAATTATTAAACCATCACCATCTCGTGCAAGTGGCCTTCCACATTACTCTTTGTGGGCGCGTCCCATTTTGGATTTGAACCAGTCAATTATCAAGTCAGAATCGTTTTGAGCAACCTGAGCGTTGCCTTCCAAATCCTCATGAGCAACCTTGTCCGTCAAATCGGGGTCTCTCAAGCAGAGAGCGAACGCTAGCAAAGGAGCTGTGAAAACTAAAGCAACAATAGTCTCGTATTTCTGAACGTGTCTATAGGCCTGGACCGCAGCCTCTCTCTGTGGAGTACCCCATGTGTACTTCAAGATAAAGGTGTAAGGAGAAGCGTACGCCTCCGTGGCCACTTTGGCATCGCCAAGCAGAGACAATAGTTTTTTGTACAGAAGTTGGGTCCAAATAGCACCGGACACTGCGGAGCCCACTGCGCCACCAATTCTGTAAGTCGTGTAGTTGAGCCCGGTGACTGTGGCCATGTTCTCGTGCGATGTTGCAGATTGTACCGACACATTGACTGGATATGTCCACATGGTTGAACCGATACCCCACACAACCAAGGCACCGATGATACCTCCATGTGCAAACGAACCACCTCTGTAATGGTAGAGCAGACCCATACCCAACATCCACAAAGCACATCCCATTACAATGTAAGGCTTGAGCTTTTTACGTCTAGTGATGAAAAGTGCAAAAATTGGCGACCACACAACCGACACAAAGGAAGACAGTGACGAGATTCTTGTAGCCGATTTTGTGGATTCATCAACCGCCACAATCAGTATGGTGTACAGGTACCCCGCGGCCAAAGAAAAGATAAAATAGTTCAAGAACGAAACGGACATTGCAGACCACACGCCGCGGTCCTTGACTAAATCGTATGGCACCAAAGGATCTCTTGCCCAAACTTTTTCCCAGTAAAGGAGGATTGGGATCAAAACCCAGCCTAATACAAATGGACCAATGATATGGGAATTGTTCCATTGGCTCTTCACACCTCCTGCTAAAGTCAAAGGTGCCAAAATGCAACCGAGCATTACCACAAGCAGAAGAATACCAACCACGTCGAGCTTCCAAAAAAGCTCGATCATCAGGTTGGAAAACCCGTGGCTCTGGAAAAACGTTTGTTTGTCCTTCAAAGCGATCCACTCGGGCGTCTTTCTGGCCTTATATCTCATGTGCAGCATACACAAAACAAGAGGCACGCAAGATAATGGGAAAATAAATGCCCACATGCCGATATCCCATGACCAATTTTTCGTGGGGTTGGCGGCCTCAGTGATGTTACCGGAGATCCAGGTGTTGATGATAAAGGGCCAGGTTGGTACGACTTGGAAAAGCAGTCTCCATTTCAGAGAAGAAAAATCGGACAAGATCAGCAGGAGGACCAATATGATCCCAACATAGCCCAGATTGTAGAACACAGCACCGGCAGCGTACCGTTGGATATCGTACGCCTGCGACTCGATAATTGTTCCCACGACGTAGAAAACGACCGCTGTTAAAAACAGTGTAAGTCTTCCGAAAGTGTCAGATAGACGAGCATACAGCAGTTGGCCAGCAGCTCCGATGATGGCGTTGATGACACCGATAGTGGAGATAAGCGAGTGTTCGCCGTAAGAGCTGGCGGCGTAAGTCGTGTACACGTATCGCAGCTGGCCGTCGAGTCCGTATCCGTAACCACACACGAAAGCACAGAAAAGCAGAATGATTCGGTAATACCACGCATTGTACTGCTCTGCCAAGATTTCAGTTTTACGAATCACCAAATATCTTGTCGACTGCAGCTTGTCAGGGACAGCCAGCTCGTTGGCAGCACTACCAACGTCATTCTCGTGGTATTGCTGAGATGAGTGCTTGGACTCACCTTCGACAATCTTTTTGTCGTCCATTCCTCAAGTGTTCCTTTCGCTGTGACTAGCAGTAATTAGACTGACACTTACATCAAATACGCCCCCATATCAACTACACAGATGTTAACTATATATGTTTTCCTGTTTTACCAGATTTTCCATTGTCAAAGCAGTCCGGGTGCAGTTCTTGTTTTAGTATAGGTGGGTGCACTTTAATTTATAGCATCGTTAATTGAAATAGAGATGCCTTACAATGCCACATTGTTCGCTCACGGGGACCAGCAGAAATAATCGTAGCGGCTCGCAAGGCTTTGACGTTGTGACTGGGAATTACAACACTCTTACAAATGGGCTTCAAAAATGAGCTACTGTTGCCACATGAGACGCAAGAATTTTACAGACGTGCGTACAGCACGTCAAGAGGAAGCGTAGTCGTTCTGAGAACAAACCCACTATTGAAAAAGGTAACGGTAGTAACGCATGAGAACTGTAGGATACGTGCTCAATGCATGACGAGCCGCGGCTTTTTCTGCTTCTCTTTTCTCTTTGTTTCGCAATGGGAAACCTAATTGGTGCAGCTGCCCCACAATAGGAAAAACTTCATCTTTCTCGACGGTTGAGTGCATGTAACGAGATGTGGGTAAAGCAGAGAGTTGCTAGCGGTGAAAACGTAATCTTGATGGTCTTCAAGTATGTGCTAAGTTATAGAAATTAGGTGCTCAGTTGGGACGATGCGTAGTCTTAAAAAAATATGGTTGAGAGATTCCGCGACTGCGACCAAGCCTGTAGTTTGCGTGTAAGAGAAGTGTGGTGTCGCCATTAAACTGCTACAAATGCGGGCATTTTAATGGCAGTAACAAGCTCCATTCGTTGTAGTTATGCTGGGAACGCACACAGTTCATCAAGCCATTTTATATAATTGCAATCTAATTAAACAAAACTTGGCTTACCTATTAGCATATCGACAAAAACTATAACAATGATCCCGCATTACTACATATTGAACGGATGCTTGACACATAGGTAGGTGTCCCGGCTGCTGTTGGTTAAAATCAGGAACTTTTACATGCCATTAAATAGAAATTGCGTCATCTGTAGACGTCGAGGAAAGCCAAATACGAACGCCATGCATTGAACGATCTACGCTTCTACGCTGTGCCTTCGAGATGGCCACACTGCCTTTCAGTGCCATCTGGTCCCTAAATTCCAACGCATCTGTGTTAAAATAACACTGCTGGTTCATAGCCCTCAGCCCTGGCCTATCCCCACGATCAAGATTCGTTTTGGCAAGCTTTACAAACGGTCCTACAGCCCACACACTACTACGTCTGCAAGGTTTGCGAGTTATGCTGAAGATTACAACTGCACAAATGTCCTAGGTCCTCTCAACTTCCCTGAAGCATTTCCTTCTGTCAGATCCTTCTCGAATCGATGAGGAAGCCACATTATGTTGAAATATAGCCCTCATCTAGGACCCTGAAGGAAGAACAACACCGTTCGAACTCTACATTTAGATGCAGAACGAGACGTCGTTACAAGCAAAACAACAACTTCCCGGTTTCGCAACAGAACTTTACGTGGCATGAATGACCCTCCGCTATTTCAAGATTTTGTCTTTACGGCACTAATAATTGAAGACATTTAGTCAAAATGCTCATACTATTCGAGGCATCAGGGACACTGTGGACACGACAGAAAAATACCCAACATAAACCCACAGTTTTGCAAGTTCAGACGTGAACTCATTATTGCATAATTGGCAAGACGGGAGAACAAACTTAAGGATATGGCGAAGATGGCAGTTTAAGATCAATATCGAGTGTACTTGGAATAATTTTACTGTCAAGGCTATATTATTCAATACAGTCAAAATCCTCTAATGATGACGCTGGCGGGTGAAAAGAAAGATGCCAGATATGCTGAGTCGGAGCTAGAATCCCCGACATCGGTGAGTGAAGCTCTGGATTTCGATCCGCAGAGTGGTGTGAAAAGAGCTCTCAAAGATCGACATATTTCGCTACTGGCTCTCGGTGGTGTAATTGGTCCAGGATGTCTGATAGGTGCAGGAAACGCATTGGCCAAGGGGGGACCCTTGGCTTTGTTGCTGGGATTTGGGATTGTAGGGGTAGTATGTTTTGCAGTAATGGAGTCGATCGGGGAGCTCATAACGTTGTATCCATCGGGCGGTGGGTTCACAAGCCTCGCTCGTAGATTCCACAGCGAGGGTCTCGCAGCTGTTTGCGGCTATGCTTACGTGGTGGTGTTTTTCGCAGTTTTGGCCAACGAATACAACACCTTGTCGTCCATTATGCAGTTCTGGGGCCCTCAAGTGCCCACTTACGGCTACATCCTACTCTTCTGGGCCTTTTTTTTGGCATTCCAAATGCTGGGCGTAGGTGCATTTGGAGAGTGTGAGTACTGGTTGGCATGGTTCAAAATCATTGGTCTTGTTACATACTATCTTTTCTCCATCATCTACATGAGTGGGGGTGTCCCTGGTAGACCCGCTTTTGGATTTCAGTATTGGCGCAATCCAGGTGCTTTGTCAAATGGATTTAGAGGCGTTGCAGTTGTCTTCGTTTTCTGCTCAAGTTTTTATTCAGGAACTGAGTCTGTCGCTCTTGCTGCCACTGAAAGTAGAAACCCCAGAAGAGCTATTCCGCTGGCTGTCAGACAAACGCTGTGGAGAATTTTAATCGTTTACGTGGGTATCGCCATTTTTTACGGTATCACAGTGCCGTATAACGACGTGAACCTGGGCTCTAACTCCAAAACGCTTAAATCACCGGTGGGGATCGCCCTTGTGAGAGCTGGCTGGGATGGCGGTGTACATTTGGTGAACGCTTTTATTCTCGTCACCTGTGTGTCAGCCGTTAACAGCTCCTTATACATTGGGAGCCGAACCATCAGCCATCTGGCCCACGATGGTCTGGCACCCAAAGTTCTGGGATGGACCAACAGACGTGGCGTACCCGTCGCAGCATTGGTGACGTTCAATTTATTGGGACTGATATCGTTGATGAATGTGAGTGTCGGTGCTTCGAACGCTTATGGATACATTGTCAATCTATCGGGTGTGGGTGTCTTCATTGTTTGGGGAATCATTTCTTACACTCACATAAGATTTAGAAAAGCCTGGGCTGCTCAAGGAAGGTCAGATTTTGAACTGCCCTACAAGTCTTTATTCTATCCATTTACTCCAGTCATCAGCTTGGCTGCCAATGTGTTTCTTGCTCTTATTCAAGGGTGGACAACACTTTCGCCTTTTTCTGCAGGAGACTTTGTAGACGCTTATGTGCTTCTTCCGGCAGCAGCTATACTATTTGTTGGTATTGCACTGATAAAATCACGAACCCTAAGGCCCATCGATTTGAAGACCATCAATTTACAAGCAGGACAGCGTGTTGATTTAGACGATGCAAGGGGTAATGTCGACGAAACTGTAGCGACTACTAATTTGGGCCGCCTTCGAAAAGTGGTCCATGCTGTTTTCGGGTAAGATCAAATCGGTAGAAAGGTAACGGCGTTTATGTACCTCCGACATTTCGACGCAGCACTTCACTAGGACACTTCCATATCAATGATAAGTGAAGTCGCTTATATCCATTCTTCCAACATTACTTCATAAACACGTCTCGTCTATTTGGTACACACAGGACAGCTCAAATACTTTAGACGATTCTTCACTTCCGTGACGGCACTCAAATGAATACAAGAGGATAACAAGAAGGGCAGTGTAGACTTTATCTCATCATTCTTCTCATATAATGTTCCAGGAAGATGATGCCTCAGCATGCTCGGGACTAAGTTGGATGAATAAAATCCTCAATCACTCTACCGAACCCAGCTAGCTGTATGCCATTGAATGTAGTGGATGATGGGCAGTACAGGGCAAATTTGAATCTGTCTCGTTAAGGTTGCTATTATGTGGCCACTTGCCGCGAAGCTGCGTTTATCCACATATTGAGTTGCTCTTTCTGCGCCGATTGCAGGCATGCGCAGATACGTGCATATTGATGATGATTGAACTTTTTGAGATGATGAGGACATAAGCATCATAAAGGATGGCTACTGAGCTTTCCTCGAGTATGGTTCTTGTCAAATAAACAGCCTTACTTGAAGCATTTTTGAGGTTTTGACAAACTTGTATCAAATTCCTTTGGGCGATCTGTGTGACCGTTGCTAACTTGGTCCGCTTGGATTTCAGGAATTCAGGTAGGCTTGGGAGGACGAGGTGACTAAGACGGTTCAGAAGGCTTTTTAGGTCACTTATCGAGGGCCTTTCGCTTTCAGAAACAGACAAGTTTCATACCCAGTTGAAATTGCGCCTCGAGTGGCTGTAGTATGAAACTACTTCGCTTTTAATTGGCATTGTATCGATTCAATTGTGAGAATCATGACTTTGATTCCTTAATAGCCCACTAAGTTCTCATTCTTGTGCGATCCATCCTTGCGTGACTCTCATTCTATTATTCCCATCATCTGAAAACAGGAGCTTGGAACACTCAGTGCGAGCTGGTCAATCTGACAATGTGCGCCATCTTCAAGTACAAGTGCATAATCGAACACTAAATGTTATTTTATTCAGCATTTAGAGCATTCCTTGGATATCAAGCACACATAGACTGCATGTCGTTGAGTGAAGAAGCCAGCAGAGACAATGCACAATGCAATTATCTAAGAGGGCAGCCAGCAAGCCAGACAGTACACATACCGACAAGTGCTGCTGTTACCAACACTCAAAGCTTCAAAGGTATTGTAGCGGTCGAATTTGCTGTCTGAGTGCCAGCGTCAGTTAAAGGCTTGGGAATAAGAGCAATCACAAGTATATATCAAAAGGTAGCCGAGAAACAACAAAGTATAGAGTACATAGTCTACATCAGCGGCAATCTGACAATTGCTATCCTTAGAATGTGATTCCACTCTTTTGATGCTATTCATAAGATGTATTATAACGACACATTTCTCATTTGGCGATTACTATCAGTGATGGGGTGTCAATAATAGTGTAGAGTGGCTTGGACCATTGTCAGTTTTTTGACCGTCTTGTCTAACTAGAACGGATCGATGTCCACCATTTTATATAGGACTATCGATGAGAAACAATGTTATTCCGGTACTTAGCTGGGCAGTGCTGGAGTTCTTTTTGTCTACTGGATTTTCCACTTCAGTGAAAATCGCTAGACAAGGACGAAATAGTGGCCACATTGCCAAACGTTGTCTAATACCGCTAGTTTTATAGACACCAGTGGTGGCCTTTCAAGGCCTTTTAATAAGAATGGTGGATTACGTGCTTTGGGCTTCACTATTTCATTACTCTCCAGGACCCGCAGTCTTAAGATATCTAGACGCACGAGAACAGATCATGCTACAATTGAGCGCATACAGCTGTAGTTGAAGCGGCTCAAATGATATTGTGCATCAAACTACAAAAATAAAGCTCCTGAGAGATTTTTATCGAGTGCCATTGAGTCAGTATAAGTTACGGTTCATCAGTGACATGCTCTCCCGTTGACAAAGCTTTCATGAGAGAATGGAGGCTACGGCTAAGACAGCAAGCAAGTTCGCAATGTACAAGACTCGAAATTCCGTACAAAAGCACAAAGGTCTTCCGTCTTTCGTGGTTACTTTTTAAGAACAAGAAAGGTTTGAGCTAGTTTGAGATACGCGCACAGCAAATGCAATACTGCTCAGAGAAAACAGTATTTTCTGCTTTTTAAATTTGACTATGAGTTCTTAAGATCAGGGAGGAAGCTCAAAACAAGAATTTTAAGATCCGATTATTAGCCGTTATTACGTATATAGCGATGATCCGTTTTAGGATCTGCTTTTGAAGATGATAAGAGTCCTAGTAGCTTTATACGGACCGTTTGTGATCTTGAGGAAGCTCGTAGTACATGACTAAATTTAAATTGGTATATATCATTTTATACGCAACAATTATAACGCCCGCGTTCTTAACTCCGCATTTTTTTTCATTGATTAGGGCTCCTGAAATATAAATTTAACCATGCCATCATCTCGATGATGTAGGTACGGCTCTATGTTGTCACGTCATTTACCAAGTTCTTTGCCAAGATCTTGGCTCATAATCACCATTTACTACAATTCCTTGACATCAAGTAACTCACGCCGTATTGCTCACCATGAGCGGTTTTTCGCGTCCCTCTGGCGTGTTCTACACTCTTGATAAGGTTTTCCACTCGTTTTGTTGTAAATTGATGCCTCTATAGCGAAGGCAAATAAGAAGTTCGGACAAGATAATCGTTGTTTCTCTTCGCGGAGGAAATGTTTTCATTTCCCAGTTTTCAATCGCTCATCCTCCCGCTGTTAGAACAGCTGTTTTTACGCAGGCAGGTTCTTCGAGACTTCAAGCGTGTACCAGCCGCTCAATAAGTTAGTCGGAGTTAAGCGTCAAGTTCTCTGGCATCATCATACGAGTAGGTCTTTGAGAAGACTTTCTTCAAATCAAGATACTGCTAAAATTGAGTACTTAAGAGCCATCGAAATCTTTGAGTTCGTAGTCCAAATCGATAGCCAAAGAGACCAAATCTACTTGTAGCATCTCATTGTTCACCGAGATGTCCGGGAACATTACTTGCACGAAAACAAATGGTGATACATGCTTGGCGCCAGGCGTGAGCACAGCTGCGGCAAATCTCAATTTCGAGCGTGAACGTGGCTTGGTGTCGTACATCATTTATGGGTTACTCTTGGTTGGACTAGCTGCTGCAGTTACACCTTCTTTTGACGGTGAGAACTTGCCGGCTCACTACCAATAAAACGATGCAATTGGGGTCTGCAGTCAATCTGTCCACTGCAGTTGATCTTGCCTTCCTCTCTTACCTCAACGGCTCTTCTTCAACCCCTCTGAGATCATGGTTCATGTAAGCGACATTGAAACAATCATCACCAACTTCCGCTTTTCCTGGCAAAAGCACCAAGCTTTCAAAGAGATTGGATGCCGGTAACGCACCCTTGGGTACATGGATCCACCAGTGGCAGGTTGCTCAACAGGGACTTTGAGATCAGAGATGGTATCCGGCCAGCGGATGTCAATATACTGGGTACTCTAGTACATCTTTGAAGTACACGCAAGGGTGGTCCCAGGAAACCACCTGGAGTGTTGATGCGGGATTCAACTGGGACGTCGGCAAGGGTTTCGCTCTCAATCTTGGTGCAACTATAACCAAAAAATATGGACAGTCTGGCTCCTGAAAAATCACTGTTCCTGGAAATTCAATTGGTCAAACTTGAACACAGAAGCGCATGGTTTGGCAAGACCAGCAGCGTCAAAAGTGCGTGAGGAAACACTACGGCCACGATGGGCTTCACTGTGATTCATGGGGTCCTTTTATTCATGGTGACATCCCCGACACCCAGACTTACAATCTAGGTGTGTCCATCGGCTCCGACCACGTCCATTGTTGATTGTTTGCAGTCATAATAGATTTTGTAGAGTATTATTTGAGAGGTGCCAACCCATTTCTCATCCTCAGGGTCCGTTACCGCGTAAGTGCAAATTCGAACAGTACCTCGAATTCACGAAATGGAAGTTTTACCTTTTTGATCTCCAGAAACTCTACATTTTGGCAACAACTAAACTCAGCCGTCTTCTAAAAGTGATTCGTGCGTTTTTTTATGGAACGTCTGACTTGGCGGAGAGGTAACGGCATATATTTACCGCCCACGCTGTCTCCGGGGCATTCGGTTACGATTACTTCCGTCACAGTGACAATGGGTATTCATTGGTAAGTTCTCGTATCATCTCAAAACTGGGCTCATCTGTTCGAGACCCAGGAACCAATCCAGATCATCTGGGCGGGGTTTGTGAGATATTGAGATGCTAGTCAAAGGTATTGTTAAGGTAAAAAAGACGGTAGTTGAAATGTTATCCGGTCAAGTCTTGGGAAGCACAGCGAAGATGATGCCTAGGCATGCGCGGAAGTACCGTACTTAAGTTTTAAATCTTACCTATTCGACTCAACTCTTCTAATAAGACCAATTGAGGAGTAAATGAGCAACAACGGTCTGTTTCAAGGCTCATCCGCTCTGTCATCCATTCATCAGCCATCACAGCTGCATTTATGTACAAACAACTTGTTCTTCTGCACCAATAACAGGTTCAGTGCAGGTACGTGCATATTAACATTAAACAATATCGATGTAATACTCTAAGACATAAGCCGAAGCAGCCCGGCATCAAGCCAGCTTTGATTGAGCGTTACCGGAACTGTTTTTGCTGAAGAATCATCTGAGAGTTCGTGAACTCTCAAAAACTTATTAGGATCTTCTAGGAGGTCTTGGTGGTCTTGGGTCTCTAGGTTCTCTTGGTTCCCTAGGCTCTCTTGGTTCTCTTGGCTCTCTTGGCTTTCCGGGGGGTCTGGGAGGCTGGGGAGGCTGGGGAGGCTTGGGTAGTTTGCTAAAGATGCTAGCCGATGGACTTACAGTTGCAAGGAATTGACAACTTTCATCACTTTGCGACAACGCACCCTGCTAGCTGTAATCGATTCCTTTCGGTGACATGCCAGTTTTTTCGTTGATGCAGTCTCGTATGAGCTCGTTATGCACCGAACTCTTGACGTGAGACTTCAAGCCTTTCACGGTTGGCTTCGCATTTTTGTACCCTCTTTTAAGTGTCACTACTGGAAGAGGTCAGAACCTTTGACCAGGGGAGTTTATTGAGAAAACAATGGCGTGCAACCATTTTATGCGCGCACCTGGATGATTCTCAGTACTTTCGTGCAAAATAGTTTTGCAACCCAGTTCTTGACGCCAGCATAGACCGAAATTTCTGTAAGTGTAAATAGCGGTACGGGTCCAGTCAGTTAAAAGTAGGAATACGTTCGATGAGCTCTGTAGCGGTTGAGCTTGTAAGTCCTGATATTTTAGTGGTATAGCGGATTGCAATATGCGAAGGCGAGAAAAACCCCGGGAATTCCCATATCTGCAATTGGAAGCTTTGACGATTGATGACTCAAACCCTTAAATCACCCGTGGTCTGGTAGACTTGTTTCGCACTGCTTAAGAGTACCTTTAAACACCATACGCCTTCCTGATTTTGCTGCTCACTTCTAGATGCAGTGACAGATTAAGTACAGGGTGGCCAGCGTCGCGTGTTTGAATGACAGTAGAATATAAATATTAGGAGAATTTCCAAGTGACTATCCATGGTGCGACTCAAAAAGGTCGACATCATTGTTCGATGCGATCTGGAATGTTTGGTAAATGCGGTAGTATTCTAACGCGGTCTTTTGAAAACCGGTTAACTCGCTTGTACTGTTGTGGGAAATAGCAGCTTTAAACTTGAACATTTCTCAATCCCGAACCTATGGTTTCTCAGATGCGCTGTTTCATGCGCCCACAAGCCAGTACTTGTCATATTGTTGCTCTTTGTATCTGAAATGACTCAAATCATTAGCGAAGTACCGAAGAAGAAGTAGAAACCAATCTTTCAAGAATAGGGCTATTTTTTCTCTTGAAAGTGATGGAAATGGCCCAGGCTTGAGGACTGGGTGATTGAAGAAACGGACTAGTGCTCTGCCTTGATGTTATGAGCTTCACGAAGAGACTTGGGGCTTTTTTCCAGAGGGTCTTAAATTCATCTATCATGGGTTCACTGACACTTTCACGGGCGGGACTGAACCAGTATCACAATTGAGTTCCTAGGATTGACCTGCATAACGTTCAGCGATTACAAAACGCTGTTCAACGATACCAATAGTTCTAAAGGCAACTTTTTGACCCTTTCATGGGCCGAATGCACTGTCCTGGTAGATGATGTGGTTGTGAAGCGTACGTTTTACACCTTTGTTATAGAATTCCGGCCACACAACCCATTTTCCCAATTCTTGTCTGCCCAAGTCTTACAACTTGTTTTGCTTCGAAAAGATGGTGAAAAAAGTACCACTGGTATGCCGTTGCGAACGCAGCTTCTAATGAACATAGTCTGTTTCAATCTGACAAAGTCTATCGTGACAGCATGGCATGACTCTCACAGACCAAGTAAATCGTCACATCACGGTAGAAGCTATTATTTCGAAAATTACGTTCCTAAGTAGAACCCAATGCATCTTGGAGGATGCATCGTAATGCTAACGAATGTCACACGCCGAACATCATACAAATCGCTATTAATAGAGCGTACACCCCTTTACTATTCAGATACGAGCTTCCTGTACTAGATCTTTCCTACTGACATTGCTAAACACTTCTATATTGTTTACTAAATACCGGAATTTCTCAATTCTACAACCCACATTTTCCCCAGGTTCTGCAGGTCTTCTGATTGGTGTTCCGTCCAGTTCATTGTTCAAAACCCAGGAACGGCTTCTGGCTCCGTTCCGTTCGGTGTGGTTTACGTGGTGGTACCACGTACGTAACCTTGTTGATAATCTTTTCCCCCACAGGTTTAGGAACGGAATTTTTTTTTGACATCATTACACGAAAAACGACCGCGGGGTATTCACACCTAAAAGAAATGTATTCAAATTTCTCGAAAAACAAGCAAGCAACCCTGGTTTTAACTCAGACAGCGATGAGGCGAGTAAGTAAAGATATAATGATGTATACGATAACAGTACGTAGCAGTTTATAGATCTCTTTCTTGGCTAGAAAGTGTGGGGAAGTCTTGGGAAGTTGCTCATAAGCTTTCTAAGTGCGGTGCAGTGTGGTACAGTGCAATACGGTGCGGAACAGATGAGTTTGGTCAGCAACAGAACTAGAAATAGTTGAGTCGTATTCCCTTGTTCTTTTCACTTCGCGATGGATTTCGAAGAGGCTACAATTCAAGCATACGTGGCTCGAGCGTGCATATAAATATGGGGTAGAAGCTATGGTGAAAGGTCCTATAGGAATATGTTGTAAAGAAGCAGCATAGTGTATATATCGAGAGAGATATATATATATCTCAAGCAAAGACCGAAAATAGCACATCACAACAATGACTGTGTCCGCTGCTCACCCTGAAACCAACCCAAAATGGTGGAAAGAGGCTACTGTGTACCAGATATATCCTGCCAGTTTTAAGGACTCGAACGATGACGGATGGGGAGACATGGAAGGAATCCACTCGAAACTCGACTACATCAAGAGTCTAGGAGTTGACGCTATTTGGATCTCTCCATTTTACGACTCCCCCCAGGACGACATGGGCTACGACATTGCCAACTACGAAAAAGTGTGGCCCACGTACGGAACCAACGAAGAATGCTTCAAAGTGATAGAAAAAACTCACAAGCTGGGAATGAAGTTCATTACAGATCTGGTCATCAACCATTGTTCCACGGAACACGAATGGTTCAAGGAAAGTAGATCTTCCAAAACCAATCCCAAGCGTGATTGGTTCTTCTGGAAGCCACCCAAGGGCTACGACGAAAATGGTAAACCCATCCCTCCCAACAACTGGAGGTCTTATTTCGGTGGCTCTGCATGGACTTTTGATGACACCACGGGCGAGTTCTTCTTGCGTCTTTTCGCCTCAACGCAACCAGATTTGAACTGGGAAAGTGAAGCGTGCAGAAAAGCCATCTACGAAAGCTCCGTTGGGTTCTGGCTTGACCACGGTGTGGACGGCTTCAGAATCGACGTGGGCAGTCTGTACTCTAAAGTCGTGGGTCTTCCAGACGCTCCAGTCACTGATAAAAACTCCCCTTGGCAATCCAGCGATCCAATGACCTTAAACGGCCCTCGTATTCATGAATTTCATCAGGAGCTAAACAAGTTCATGAGAGACAGGATCAAAGATGGAAGGGAACTTTTGAACGTCGGCGAAGTGCAACATGCTTCGGACGAGGTCAAGAAGCTGTACACGGGTGCGTCCAGACATGAACTCAGCGAGCTCTTCAATTTTTCGCATACTGATGTTGGTACCTCGCCCTTGTTCCGCTACGAACTGGTCCCATTCAAGCTCAAGGACTGGAAGCTTGCTTTGGCCGAGCTATTTAGGTTTGTTAATGGAACAGACTGCTGGTCGACCATCTACCTAGAAAACCATGACCAACCACGTTCGATTACCAGATTTGCAGATGATTCGCCAAAGAACCGTGTCATTTCGGGCAAACTTTTGAGTGTTTTGCTGACATCGTTGAGCGGAACTTTGTATGTGTACCAGGGTCAAGAGCTTGGTCAAATCAACTTCAAGAACTGGCCTGTGGAAAAATACGAAGACGTGGAGATCAGAAACAACTATCAAGTCATCAAAGATGAGCATGGTGAGGACTCTGCGCAAATGAAGAGTTTCTTGAAAGCAATTGCCTTGATCTCCAGAGACCATGCCAGAACACCCATGCAATGGAGCAAGGAAGAACCAAACGCCGGATTCTCGGGCTCTAAGGCCAAGCCATGGTTCCATTTGAACGAATCGTTCAGGGACGGTATCAATGTTGAAGACGAACTCAAGGACGAAGATTCAGTTCTCAACTTCTGGAGAAAGGCCCTGAAGTTCAGAAAAGCTCACAAAGACATTACAGTGTATGGTTACGATTTTGAGTTCGTTGACCTGGAAAACGACCAGATTTTCAGCTTCACCAAGAAGTACGGTCAAAAGACACTGTTTGCTGCTTTGAATTTCAGCTCAACGCAGGCTGAGTTTGAAATTCCAAACGATGACGGATCCTACAAGCTTGAGTTTGGCAATTTCTCCGAAACTAAGATCGATCCTCAATCCAGAAGCTTGGCTCCATGGGAGGGTAGAGTTTACATCTCCTAGTAAGACATGACCTTGACGTAACGAAGAATAATAGAGTATATTGTATATTTTACGAATAAAACATTTTGCAGAATCGGTGTTTGTTGGTAGTTGTCACTGGGAATCAATGATGGGCAAACGACGGCAAAAGAAACTCAGTTCTATCTCAAAGCTGGAAATCGCTTTCGCCAGATTCTATGTGGAAAATTGACGGTGAAGCAGACGTATTTGTATTTTGAATTTTTGCTCGGAAACAGTCCATACTTGCTGTCCGAACTGCAAACTCATCCAGACAAACTGTAAAGCGCAGTGGTATATCATTCGGGCAAGACCGCTGGCGGTGGAAAAATAGCGACCAAAACGCGAGTGTGTGTGATTTACACATTTATAACAAAACTTTCACAGTTTTATTGAGGATACCATCAAAAAGATGCACACCATCAGAAATGTGGTAGTTTCCTCATCTCACTGGCAAGAGTTGAGAGAATAACTTGATCTCGGTAAGCAAAAGCCGGAATTCTGGTACTGAACAAGAGAATTGGCACTTTGATCACCAGCCCATCCATTGAAATTGGATAATCTTCCTTGGAGTATTACAGTTCTTTTGTTGATGATGAACGATGGTGCTGTATGCGAAATTCCGTGAACAGTAGTTGTGACAGTGATGGCATTGAACAGATCGAAGCAGGACGTCAGGGTGGTGCAGAAAGATTTCTATCGTGGAGACAGAAGAGTACAAAGTGATAAGATTTCGGTCGTCAGCGACAGGAAAGGTGGTGCTGGAGCGAACAGTAACGTAGCAATTAGGATGAAGATAGGAGGAAGAGGCAGAAGACTCAACCGGACCTGGACACGAGCTATCAATTCGTGTTTTTTTGTTTTCAAGCTGTCGAATGCCTTAATATGAGCGTAACAAGGCCAACGTTAGGGCTGGCCCGTAAAAGAATAACAACGGCACGGTGACCGGTTTCGAAGCCGCGCAAAAGTACATGTGCAGAGCATATTTCGAAACCCTAGGCCGAGGCTTGGCATAAGAAGGAGGCTTTTTCAAATTTTACGTCTAACTCTTCTTTTTCACACAACGTTCGTGTAAACTTGCTTCCATTATTAAAATACAACATGCTGTCAGAGATTTTCAAGCCGAAACTCGTATAGTTCGTGGCTTTCAGTAGCTTTTCGACTTCGGTCAATATTGTTCATCCTTCAATTGCACACTTCCACTGTAGCTATGGAGATAGAAGCTTATGCCTCTTCTAGCTCCTTGATTTCGGGCTCCAATAGGTACTGTTTTAGCGACAACGACACCAACCAGATGAGGGCCGATAAGCATAATATGCAAGCAAAAACATTTCTCAAAGATGAAATGTAGCTCTGGATCACCATTGCTTTGTATGGATATGGAAGATCTCTCGTCACATCTGAAGAAGCCAAAACCAACTCAATCACTCTTTCTCTATCTGGACCCACAACATTTCGGTCAAGGTAGCGCCGCAGTGAGTTCGCGAATATCGAGGATGACACTGCCACGCCCACGGTTGATCCGAACCCGCGAGAGGCATACAGCACAGAATTGCCAATCGCTAGGAGATCCGACGGCACAGCTGCCATCAATGCAACCAAAGAAATAGTCACCACTCCCGAATAGCCAAAGCCAAGAAAACAGACGGTAGCTGTCTGTAATGCGGTACTTGTGTTTAAACCGAAGGCGTAAAGGCTGCCACAGCTCAAAATGTAAAGTATTCCACAAGCGAGCAGGAGCAACTTGTACCTGCAGGTAGCTTTGACTATGAGCCCTGATCCGAGAGACCCTATCATGACGCCCATAAAGTTTACAGCGAGTATGAAGCCCGAAAACGAAACACTTCTACCCTGAACAACCTCTATAAAAATTGGAAGGTGGAAAATGTATGAGAAGGCCGCCATGGAAGATAGGAAACACAGGACAAAACAACGACACTCTGTAGCCCCTCGAAAAATCCGGGTTGGGATAACTGCTTTTTCAGGACAATTCTGCTCTGCTCTGAAGAAGCCAGTAAAAAGAACCAAGAATAAGGTTAACAGAAGTCCTATCTGAGAACTTCTCCAGGAAAAGTATGCCCCGCCTAAATTTAGTGCCAAGAAAAAACACATAAAGGAGCTTAACAGGAGGAAACTGCCTAAAAAATCAACGTTTTGCAGCTCACGCCAGAGTCGCAGTTCTCTTCCTGAATTTGACTCGTTGAGATTCAAAAATACGAGGAGAACAGCCGCAAAAGAAATTGCTACCTGACCCAAAAACGCATATCTCCAGCCAAATTTCTCACTGATGATGCCACCGAGGGTCCCGCCCAAGGATGCTCCTATCCCGAAAAAAATGTTACCAATTCCCTGGTACAGTCCGCGATCTCGCAGAGGAATAATATCACTGACGACAATACTACACAGTGCGGTAAGACCACCACCGCCAATTCCCTGTATACATCTACCAGCAATCAGTAGACTTATCTTGCCGGAGTAACCAGAAATAAGGCTCCCCAGTGCAAATAGAAAATGGCATGCGAGAAGACAACGTTTTCTGCCAAAAATGTCGCTTAATTTGCCAAAGAGTGGTTGGAAAGCGGAGCTCACCATCATATAAGCGCTTGCAATCCACGGTGCAAATGAAAGGTTCCCCAATTCGGATGCTATGTGGGAAAGAAGAGATGCAACGACAGTTCCATCCAGAGCAGCCAAAAACACGCCGATGTAGAGTGAGCTCAAGAGACTAATTTTTCCAAATCTGCTGTTCACTTTGATAACATATTTGGGACTGCCGGCGTCAATCAACAACGCCGTTTCCTCATGAACTGCATTACTTTTCATCAATGGCGGTGACCCGAATGACGATTTTTCGAGACAATATCGTTAGATGAGAAGAGTGGGCTCAATGTCTTGGCAAACAAGATGTCGCCCAATGCTATAAACCATACTCCTCGGCTGTAATAAATGGACGCTTTACGCCAATGAAGGTAGCTTTGGGAGCATTGGCGTGTTCCGGTAAGTCACCCGAGATAGAACCAGTGCGCTCATCGATAGGAATATGCTTGGCATTTTAAGTTCCTATTTGCCGATTACGTTGATCGTGATATCCCAATCTCTTATCTTATCGCGATAAGCCCAAAAGGTATTGATGACCGGGTGCGCACCCGAACCAGCCATTTGACGAAATTCCGCTCGAGCATTTAAACAGTGCTCCATCAAGAGATGTGGTCCTCTTCTCATTCAAAGTCTGGGATCTTTCCATATACTCAGCTACCATCACGGAACGATGGGTTTAGACAAGTTCAAGCGTACTCCGCTGACATTCGGTCCCTCGCCGATCACCCAGATGAAGAACCTTTCCAAGGAAATAGGTGGAGGCGTTGAGATCTATGCCAAGCGGGAAGATTGCAACAGTGGTTTAGCTTTTGGAGGCAATAAGATCCGGAAGCTCGAATACCTTATGCCAGAGGCTATCGAGGGCGGATACGACACTCTTGTATCTATCGGAGGTATCCAGTCCAATCAAACAAGACAAGTCGCCGCGGTAGCTGCTCATCTGGGTATGGACTGCGTGCTTGTACAGGAAAACTGGGTCGATTACAAGGCGGAGGTTTACGACAAAGTTGGAAATATAGAGCTATCGCGAATCATGGGAGCCGATGTCAGACTAAATCCGGCCGGTTTTGACATCGGAATCAGGAAAAGCTGGCAGGAAGCCATGGAAGAAGTAAAGGCCCGTGGAGGGAAGCCGTTCCCCATTCCAGCCGGTTGTTCGGAACATCCTTATGGAGGGCTTGGATTTGTAAACTTCGCTAATGAAGTCGTGGAACAGGAGAAAACTCTTGGGTTCGAATTCGACTACATTGTTGTTTGCGCCGTAACAGGCAGTACCATGGCTGGAATGGCTGTGGGATTTGCTTTCCATGGCCGCCAAAGGAAAGTAATCGGGATAGATGCTTCGGCCAAGCCTCAGCAGACGAAGGACCAGATTCTCAGAATCGCCCAAAATACGGCGAAGCTCGTGGATCTTCCATTCCAGCTTACCGCGGATGATATCATTCTAGATGACAGATTTGGTGGCCCGTCCTACGGTGTTCCCAATGAAGGCACTATGGCCGCTATAAGACTTTGTGGGCGGTCCGAAGGAGTGCTTGTCGATCCCGTATATGAAGGGAAGTCTATGGCAGGCCTCATTGGCCTCATCAAGGAGGAGAAGATTTCCAAAGGTTCCAAAGTTCTGTATGTTCATTTAGGAGGCGCTCCAGCTTTAAACGCATACGCAGATCTCTTCAAAGATGGTTGAGTCGCCAATAGAGAGCGAAAAGTAGATAGCGAGTGTACTTCGGATATAGGCCAACGAATCAACGTATCAAAGAAGCAAAAGTTCCGTTATCTCGTATGCCAGTTGATACAGAGGAATCTGGTTCCATTTATAAAAGAAGTGTGTTTGTATATCCAGATGTTGTAAACAACTTCTCGAGCGATTGAGTCTACAACTCATCATCGAACCCAAAGCATCGAATCTGGCTAATGAGGGTCAAGACAGGCATTCTCTTAGCACCTCTGACATCTTTTGCAGTCACTGCACAAGACAACACGGAACAGCGGGCTTTCTTTCCACAATTTCGGACTCAGGGAAGAGCTTCTGAACAGGTGAACGAATGCTGGACACCAGAGACACCAGCAATTTCGGATTCTAGCCGGCTTATCTTCGAAAACATCAAATCTACAATATCTGAGGTAGGCTATCAAGCTAAGTCTATTGCTCGATTTCAGGACGCAGTGCATATCGATACTCAAGTCGATGATCAATACGGCAATGTGGAAGATGACGACCGCTGGGCCAAGTTTTACCATTTTTCAGCTTTCCTCGAAAGAGAGTTCCCACTAGTACATGAAAGGCTCAGTTTGGAAAAGATCAATAGACATGGACTTGTCTATTCATGGATTCCCACTGCTCAAGATCGTGGGGGGCAATCTGCCAATAAACCTATAGTTCTAATGGCACATCAAGACACAGTTCCAGTCTCACCTAAAAGCCTTGACGATTGGAAGTTTGATCCTTTTGAAGGACATATTGATGACGATGGTATGATGTATGGGCGTGGTGTTCACGACGACAAGAACTCGCTAGTATCCATACTTGAATCTGTCGAGCTGCTGCTGAAAACAGACTTCAAGCCCAAACGTACAGTCATTTTGGCCTTTGGGTTTGACGAAGAAATTAGTGGTCGAAGAGGCGCTCTAGAAATATCAAAGCTTCTACAGAAAAGGTATGGCAAGAATGGTTTAGAGCTCATTCTCGATGAAGGACCGGGAATTTCGACCGCTCTAAGTTCGTCCGGGAAAAAGATTGCTTATGCATCAGTTGCAACTGCTGAGAAGGGGTACCTCGACGTTTCGATCGAAGCAGTATCTCCGGGCGGACATTCTTCGCTGGCTGGTAAGCACTCTTTGATAGGAATCGTTTCTGAAATGATATACTCTTTGGAGAACTCAATTGCTATTCAAGCAAGGATCTCCAAAAACAATCCTGTTCTGGGTTACCTGTCTTGCAACAATTTTGGGTTTCCACAGGTTCCGGCACTTATTGACAGGATCAAAGCGGGCGATGCAGACGCCGAATATGCACTTGGAAGTCTACTTGAAAACACCACAATTGCCTATCTTTCACGCACATCTCAAGCAATAGACCTGATCTCGGGCGGACAAAAAATCAACGCGCTACCAGAAAGGGTCTCAGTGGGAATCAACTACCGTGTAGGTCCGGATTTGACTTTAGGTGACATCAAGCAACGAATTTCCTCCATACTCAAACCTCTCGCTGAGAAACACAGCTTCAAAAGCTGCTTTTTTGACGAACGTCAAGACTGCGCTCCAGGAAGTGAGAGACTTTTGCGAGTGTTACAGATAGGAAACGCATTGGAGCCGGTGAGGATGTCGCCTCAAAATTCAAAGGCGTACTCTGTCGTTTTTGGGACTGTCCAGGCGACACTGGGTTCATCCTACAAAGAGGCATTAGATCTCGACGCGCTACAAGTAGTGCCCACGTTGATGGCTGGCAATACTGACACCCGTCATTATTTGAATCTGACGGAAAACATTTTTCGGTTTCGGCCAACACGAATTGATGTTAACAACAACGCAGGACACACAGTCAACGAGCACCTTTATGCCGCAGACCATTTCAACTCGATTGGATTTTACGCTTCTCTTATTCTGAGCGCAAATGATATGTAATAGAGCTAGGAATGCGCTGAAGATGCTACTCTTTATACATGATCTGTATACATGATCTAAATGGTCTACATGAATACACACTAGACTTGGATATATTGCCAGTATAGCGAATTTTGGGCCAAAACTTTCGGGAAAAGCTGTTCAAAAGTAAACCCAAAGTCGACTATGCCTTGAAGAACAAAGAAACCGAGCCTTCATCTCTCTTCTTCGATTCACCAAGGTGCTTAATCCAGATTCTTGAGCTTATCTTCAAGTTATGGCGATTCTAGAGTTTAATTTCCATGCACCTTAATTCAATTCATCATGATAACAACTTACCTTATCTAACGATAAATGGCTCTCAAGAGGCTACACAGGATACCTGAACTTCTGACTGAGAAGTACTCGATGGGTAGGTGAACTATATAGATTCGATTAAAAGGAGCCTTCAAAACAGCTAGCTGTTTTGTCCGCTGATTACCAAGTATTACACCTTGTTGTATGCCAGTTTGCAAACAACATGAGTGATTCGGGACATGAAGGTATCTTGAACAAGAAAAGAAGAAGAAGTAAAGTGCCTGAAAATGAACGTCTTAGGAAAGCAGTGGCTTGCACGGAGTGCCAGAGGCAAAAATCGAAATGTTTAGGTGGATTTCCTTGTGATCGGTGCACTTCCAAAAATGTTACTTGCAAAAGTGTTACTTACGTACGGATAAGCGAAGACGAGCTGCTTGAAAAAGAGCAACGTTTATCTTATCTGGAGGCCATCGTCAAAGCTACGTTTCCCGAAATCGGGACTGATTTTGAGAAATTGAAGTCTAAAGTTGCCGAGCTGAATGGAGATATCAAGGCCCGGGAGATGATCAAGCATATCAATTTACACACCGTCCAGCAAACGGAAAATAGTGAGAGTCACACTTTTTACGAGGACGCAGGCTCAACATCGAGTTTTGTGGTGCGAGCACGCGAGATCTTTTCGCATGGAGCACTTCCTCCGGGTTCTTCCAAAAACAAAGACTCCAGTCTACCCTTTCGACACAAATTGGGCAACATTCCACGCAAAGCTCTTACTGTCCATTCGGATTCGCTCCATACGGCTCTTTCGTCACTTCCGTCCCTAACAGACGCCACGCGGCTCATTGACACCTTCATTTCTGTTGCTGGCGGCAACAGTTTTTTCTACTTTGACTTTCTCTGGTATCGAGGCATCTTTCAAAGACTTTACCAGAAAAGGTCAAAAGCTGGCCTGGCCGATGTCAACCATTTATGTCTCGTGTATATGGGGTTCTGCATGGGTTCTATCTTCGCGCATGTCTGGAAAAGAAGCGACTTGCTAACGAAAAATGGATCTGGTGCGTTTCCGGGCTCTAACTATTTTGAGCACGCTCAAATGCTTTTCCCTGCTCTCATTAACGACAGTTCCATTGATACCGTCCAAATCTTTTTTATGGCTTCAATGTACGTTATGGCGGGGCAGGAGCTCGAAATGGCTTACACATATTCAGGAATGGCAATGAGAGCTGCTGTAGCCAACGGGATACATAAAAGGTTCCGAACCGGGTCTGACGGCGACGAAAAGAAAGCCGAGTCCCGAAAGAGATTGTTTTGGAGCGTCTATACAATTGAGCGACGTTCTGCAATTGCCTTAGGACGTCCAGAAACTTTGCCCGTCTCTGAAATTGATCTAGACCTTCCGACCTACTGTGAGCCCTTGGACAAAAATTCCGAGAATGCAGACGTCACTTGCATGACACTGATTTTCACAGTGTCTCTTCTAACCATCAAGATTCATGACATGTGGTTTAGAAGAGGTAAACATGGATTCAAGTTTGCCACAATTATGGACATGCACCACAGTATAGGACGATGGCGTGGTCAAATTCCACCTCATCTCGAAATCAAATCAATGTCTATCGGGGAAAGGTGCTATAGAGGAGCGGCACACGTACACTTCGCTTATAACATAGCCAGAATAACACTTGGGCGGCCCTTTCTTTTGCTTAAGTTGAGAGATACAAATGTTTCCGCAGATCTTGAGCCGGACCTGGATCACTTCGCCTCCCAAATGGTGTCATACTCATACGATGCGGCCAGTCAAATTGTTGAGACACTTTCAACATTGAAAGCCCATAATCTTCTTTCTTGTTACTCGTTCAACGACTACAACGCGTGCCATGTTGCTTCTTTTGTTTTATTCGTGTACCTAGCTCTTCGTCCCTCCACAGAGGCACTTCGAAGGCTCAATGAAAGCGTAAGCATATTACAACAGCTTTCGCAGAATAGCAAGTACACTCAAAAGAGTACTAGCGTCATTTTGAATTTGAAAGACGCCGTTGAACAACGGCAGAAGCATCAGCGCTGGATTGACGGGGAAGTTCAGGGAATTGGAGATAAAACGGCATATGGAGATTTTCGGGAACTCAGTCTCCCGGCAACGGATCCGAACCTCGGCACGATACTTGGGGCAACATTGATGCCTCTTTGGACGCACTCACGGATGAACATTGGTTTCTCTCGGTTCTTTGCGAAGGTATGCCGTCGAATCGAGATTACTCTCTTTCTTATTTGTTTCAAGATGACCGAGAGTGTGATCCAAGGTTCGACGCGCTATCCTAGTGTGATTTTGGGCTTGATGCTCTCTGTATCTACTTAACTAAAGACGCGGATGGTTATAAAGACTTGTTAATGACATAGGCTTCAAAATCAAAGAGTGGAATATGGAAAATTGATCTTCTCAATCCTAAAGCTTTGTGGGTTTTTCTGAGTCGCCGTAAACTTCTTTTACAAGCTTCTCTTGATGATTGAGCTTTACTGGTCAAAGTGGAAACTATTGATTAGGCTTAGCGACCTGTCTTTCTGACCTGCAGTTCTGAGCCTTTGGCAATTTTTGGTGGTATTCAAGCTAGCGAAAGAGCAGCTTTATGACCCAAAGCGCTCGCAACTGCATTTCCGACAGTCATCCCCCATTCCCAATCGGAGTCAACCTCGGCCGTGATTGATCCATCAGAGTTGAATACCCGCATATGCAAAGGGTCCGTGGGGCCCCATTCCATGGTTCCATTACTGAGCCAGTTGCAGTATGGCTTCAACCAGGAAAGATAAAGCGGCTTCTCGTGTGGTAAAATTCCGTCGACCACGTTATAGAACCAAATACCCATACCTCCGGCATGGGGAACAAGATTCTCTGGTGGCTCATATTTATCGAAGTAAGCTCCTCTAAAGGCAATTCGATAGCGGTTTATCTTGTCGGCGGCGACACCACCCTTGATCAAACTGTTTACAAGAACACGGCTTGATGCGTAGACTTGTAAGTCACTTATTATCCGACCATAGAGACTCTTGATATTTGCAAGGTGCTCCTCTTGGTTTTCAGATTTCGGAGGGTCGGGATAAAGCTCTAACAGGGCCTCGGTAACCGGTCTGGGGTAGTAGTTGTTGATCTGGTTGAATAAGTCTTCCGAGCTTCTTGGTGGGTTGGTATTGGCGTATAGTAGAGGCTCATTGATCACCTCCCCGATAACAAAAGATATACCTGAAGCCTTAGCTTTGAGTCCAAAGGTACCGTCCAGAATATCTTCAAACATGCTGGGAGGCACCATGTCATTGTCAGAAACGCCTCTAAATGTGTGGAGGTTCAAGTCTAGGATTTTGCTGGCAATGGTCTGGAACGGGATGTTGCGCAATGCCTCCAGTCTTTTAGGACCCGACAAATTGGGGTCGATACCAAAAACCTCCAGTACCTCCTGATATTGATCGCGACATTCTGGGATGGTTTTTGGTTGAATTGCCAGGCCATTGGACAAGAGCAACGCTTTCTTGATAATCTGCGTAGCTTCCGGGTGGTACAATTCGTAAGTCACTTGAAAGATGGTAGAGTATGAACCAGCACTAACGCCTCCAACTGTGATGTTATCTTTATTTCCCCCCAGTTTGGCGATGTGTTTGTAAGTCCATTCGAGTCCCAGACGTTGATCCCAAAAGCCAAAGTTGGAGTTTTCTTTGTCTTCATCCAAGAGGTCCTGGCAAGACAAAAATCCGAACATATTCAGTCTGTACCCGGCCGAGACCAAAATAAACTTATCAAGACTCTCCTCCGCCATCAAATCCTGAGGGTCGCACTGGCGGTAATGGATAGGGCTCCCGACTTGCAACCAGCCCCCATGAATAAAATACAGCACCGGCCATCCGCCGGATGGTGGCTCTCCGGTGGGAACCCAGATATTCAAGAAAAGGCAGTCTTCGTCATATTTAAACCCAGGATTTGGCTTCCCACCTCTGTTATCGTAATAGGGTTGTGGACAGATCGTTTTGAAGGAGGAATAATCACCGGAATAGTCAAAATTCTCAGGCAAGGGCTGTGGCCTCCTCCATCTCAATTGCCCCACTGGGGGCTCTGCATACCTAATTCCAGTATAACGATGGCATTTTTCCTGTGAGTCTTGATCACAGATTGTCAAGCCTTTCAATGTTCCCAAGCCGTTCACTTGAATCGTTCTTACCTTCGAGTTCTCAATGACAGGAGATTCGTACATATTTGGTACTTCTTTACTCGGGTGTCCTATCGAGCTAAGATCGTTGGCAAAGTACCTACAAGTTACTGAGTTGGATTTACATGTTGAAACGAAGTCGAATGGGTAAATATATAGCCCTGGCAAAGGAGCGCTGGAGCGCTTTGTCCTTCGAGCATATGGTTATCTCAGCCGCGATTGTTCAAGATCTCTTGGTCTCGAGCCTCTAGATAGGGTGCACATCCGAATTTAATCTCTTATCTGGATTTCCTATTTGGGCTTATCGTTGAAGGGCTTGCCTATGCTGGACGATCCTCGAGGAATGCGATTGTTTAATCTTCGGGTACTTTCCCTATCGTGAGACGATCCTTCCTTATCAATCGCTTATCAGTAAGCTATCAAGATCAAAGCTCGAATGGTACTCCAGTAGGTCGACTATAAAGAATCGAGACAGTCTGCTGGTATTGGTAGACTGCCTGGTCAGATTTGAGAACTGTTCTTGAGTTCCTACCACCACAAGACTTTGAAGATAGTTTCGCGCATCTTTGGAACACCACAGCCAAAATGTCTGAGGACAAGAAAGAAATCTATGAAGAACATGTCAAAGACATACAACAAGGATCCATTGAGGCTATAGACATCGGCTCTGGACTCCATGACGGCCTAGAGCGCTCAAACGCAGACGAGGCGCTAAACTTTGCTCTGCAGCTGTCGGATGGCAAGGAAATTGACCCCGAAGCAGACCGGAAGCTAACCAGAAAGATCGACTTTGTCGTTTTTCCTGTCATGGCACTAGTTTATGCTGCCCAGTTTCTCGACAAAACATCTATGTCGTACGCTGCAGTCATGGGACTCAGATCGGACATGAAAATGGAGGGAAATATGTACAGCTGGTCAGGTACCAGTTTTTACCTGGGCTACCTTATCTTTGAATACCCGGCCGCCTGGATGCTGCAGAGGTTCCCCCTCGCAAAAACGTTGGCTGCTTTCCTCATTGTCTGGGGCGTGGTGTTAACGTTGACGTCCGTGGCAAACTATGCTGGATTTATCGCCATCAGAACAATTCTGGGAATGATGGAGTCGAGTACTTCTATTGGTTTTATGCTGCTCACAGCGCAGTATTACCATCGGGAGCAGCAGGGATCTAGAACTTCCTTTTGGGTTGCCTTCAATGGGTCGGGACAGATTATGGGCGGTGCCATGGCCTACGGCTTGGCTAAAAGAGAAAATTCTTTACCCATAGCCGGTTGGAAGCTCGTCTTCATTATATGCGGCGTTATTACCATTTTTCTGGGCATCCTCTTCCTGGTTGTCATACCCGATAATCCTTTCAAGTCAAAGTTCCTCAATGATGCCGAAAAGGAGTTGATTGTGCTAAGATTGCGTCAAAACCAGCAGGGCGTAGGAAATCACAGATTCAAAACATACCAGTTTGTTGAGGCTCTCAAGGATGTGCGTACCTGGATCATGTTCATTTCCTCTGTCGCGTTGAATATACCAAATGGGGGGACTACGACCTTTTCTTCTATTCTGATCAAGGGCACAATGGGCTACGACGAATTCATGACCTTGCTAATGGGTTTGCCTGCAGGTGCAACCGAGTTCGTTGGTTTGATACTTTTTGGCCTGATATCTCCTTATGTGAAAAACAGAATGCTTCTTGCATCAATCACGACAGTCATCGCTTTGGTCGGATCCTGCTTGATGTCTTTTGCAGGTCCGCCAAAAGCACAATTAGCCGGTTACTACTTATTGATGATTGCACCCGGAGCGATGATCGTCATGTTTTCTATCGTCTCGTCTAATGTTTCGGGGCACACGAAGAAGACAACAGTTGGCGCTATTTACTTGATAGGATACTGCGTGGGCAATCTCATTGGGCCCCAAACCTTCCAGGACCAAGACGCTCCCGATTACCGTCCTGCAAAAATTGTCATGGTGGCTTCCTACTGCCTCACCTTGATAACCTTGCCAGCTCTATATCTTGTGAACCTCCGGGAAAATAAAAGAAGAGATCGATTGGTTCAAGAGGGACTTCTCAACCATAAGGAGAACTCGGAATTTGCTGATCTGACTGACAAAGAGAATTTGGAATTCAGGTATGTACTTTGACTGACATTATTTTAGCGTCTCTATATAAACTGATTTAAAACGGAGTCCTGGTTGTCTTTACGGATCCCGCTGTAATGGCTATGGCAACTTTTCTGGCGGGAGGTTGTTATCCGCTTATTCGGGAGAGAACTGATGGTCTTGTGAAGGGTGATTTGTATATAAGATCTATATATTTGGTGTAGTACCAACACTTGCCAAAGATGTGTCAGTTTATCATCATATCTATGACAGCGACAAAACCCGTTGATGTAACAACTTCAGTAAGCAAATAATCATATTGTTCACCAATCATACATCCACCGCTTCCATTTTCTAGTATTGGAAATGTTGTGGCGAAATGGAAGGATTGCTCGGGATATATAGGTTCATTATGACATGCCAGTGTACTGACTCAGGCATATCCGACTTTTAAGCGATACAAAGTAACGCGACCTTCAGTTTTACCTTTCATGCACTATGGAAACGGTGCGAATTGATGGGCATGGTCTCTTCAATGGGTCATTGACGTTTCGGAGCGGTTGCTTACTGCGACAGTACGTATAGTAACTTGATTTATCTGAGAACGAACATCAATTGAAAATAAGTTTATCAAGCAGGAGTCTTTCGTGGTCTAGTACGTTTTATCGTGAGACTGCTCGTACTCGCATGGCTATAAAAGTAGCGGACGGCTTGAAGTAGATAGTGTAAGTGAGGCGTGAGCTCCCAGGGCTACTATTCGCGATGCTGGAAATAACTTCAAATGGTACGGGTGGTAAACTACTAGGGGACTCTCACATTCTTTCTTGTCTTGGTCTGTAAGTTTAACTTTCCGCTTACGAGAATAATTTCATGTCGTTACGGAGCGTCACGAAATCAAGATCACCGCAAGGCCTCATATCCATACAAAGTGACAGCAGTGCGATGAAAGTCCGAGGCAGAACACTGGCTGTTACTGAAAATTTCAATCTGAACGCCAATCGAATCTTTGCTCCCATGCGAAAGCAGCGGTGTATATTGTTGATTCGTCAAAATGCTTTCCAATGATTTGCATACCCACAGGAAGCTTGCTTGACGGAAAGCTTTTACTAGGCATGAAACCAATGGGCAGATTGAGAGCTGGGTGTCCGGATAAGTTGAAAGGACATGTATTGCTGTTGATTCCGAAAGTGCTACTCACTCTTTCGGTTGGCGAGCCTTCACGGGGACCGTGTGGCGGCGCACAAAACGGAGTAGTAGGCGCTACGAGGAGATCGACTTTGCTCAGAGCCTGGTTGTAATTGGCCTGCAGCTTCAGGACCAGATTAGTTGCTTTGGCATGAATTCCAGGGAAGTTTTCGTCAAAATACAATCCGTTGATGATACTGTTTCGAACGTTCACTGGCGCTTTTGAGAAATATCTACCGCCTAGACCATGAGTGTGTTTGAAAAATTCTGGGTCCGAATACAGTCTTCTCCCACTAGCATGTCCTAACCGGCTGTGGAGACCGGAAACTCTCTCAATCACGGACCAAATTTGCGGGGCTTGTGCGTGCATTGGAACATCGACTTCCACCACATCGTAACCAGCGTCTTTGAACTTTTCGATGGCTGACAATACCTTTCTTTTCATAGCTTCGTCCAAGAAGGGAGCGTCAAAGGCCTCCTTCAAAATACCTATGGTCAACTTGCGAGGCGCCTTGAACTCAAAATTTAACTGGTGAGGAACTGCAGACTGACGGTCATCAAAGGTATCAACACCCGCCAGTACCTGCAAAAGATTGGCATTTTCTTCAACAGTTCTTGTCATGGGTCCTACGTGGTCGAGCGTGTACTCGTTACTGGTAATTCCAGTGTAAGGGACCAGCCCGAAAGTCGGCTTAAGTCCCACCAAACCGCACATTGCAGCCGGGACTCTAATACTACCACCTTGGTCGGCGCCCAGTGCCATATCTGCTTCACCTGCAGCGACTAGCGCTGCCGATCCAGAACTGCTCCCACCTGACGAATGACCATGCAAGTAAGGATTGTGAACGTTTCCAAGACACGAGGTATGACTTCCTGTGAAGGCACATAGCTGCTCGCAATTCGAAGTTCCTATGATTTTGGCACCTGCCTCTAGTAAACGGGTCACCACAGTAGCGTCAGCTGAAGGTACCCATGGGTCCCAACAATCGGTTCCCATGATTTGTGGGATATTGGCGATACCGATGCAGTCTTTCACGCAGATAGTGACGCCCGCTAGTGGCCCATTGTTATCGTGCGTGTCTTGGAGATCGAACTTGTAAACCCATGCGCCCAACGCATCTTTGGCCATCACCGGTTGAACATTTTTTCTAGGAAACCGCTGTAAATCTGTTTCTGGCTTGTAGTCACACATTGCGTCCACGATTTTAGCTGTTTCGTGAGCACCAGCCAGGAATTTCTGGAAATCCTCATTCTCGCCTGGCGAGAGTGACACACCCAGCTTGTCTAGCTGTATTTTAACGGTTTCTTCCGTGACAGGATTGTCGTCCGAAACTTTCAATGATACAATAGACATAGTTTGTCTGTCTCGGAGTGGCCAGCTTTGTTAAAGTGAGTAGAGTTGTCAAACTTTGTCCAACTTTGTTCAACTTTGTCCAACTTTGTCCAACTTTGTTCAACCTTCGTCCATCTTTATCAACTGGTCTTCAAAATAACGAGCTCTTTGACCCATTTAGCTAACTTCACGGTAGTCAATAGCAGCGATCTTATCATTGTCGGAACACTCGGTCAAATCGGTCCGAGATGATATCAACTCGATCTCTTGCAACTACCTGTACGCAAGATAAACTTGTTCCCATGGTTAACTTGATGAATGCTATCGAGATAAGATCTTATCTCTTGAAAAGATCTAGAGGGCTGTAGTGAGGTATGTGCGCGTTAGCAGTCGTCTCCATATGGCGACTCAACACCAGCTGGCATCTTTCAAGGCTAGACAAGCATCTTTCAAGGCTAGACAAGCATCCTTGCAAGAGCTGGTGGACCGATCCCTCGAGGATTGTACAACAAAGGAAGCGGATGATGCCTGGAAGCCTCCGATCTCTGAAAGTAGAGATAAGCATTATCAGTGAGACCTGGCCGGACAGCACAGCAACATCAATGAAGTGCGATGCCTGTATCTGGGATCTGAATAGCATAAATTGAGCTCATCTTCTGGCTCTTGAACGAGGTCTAGACAAGACTTGTGGGCTCTTTCGGCTATCCTTTGCCTTCCAAAAAATCGTCAAGAGAATGGTCCAGATTCTCGACGCCGGGTACGGTTATGGCTTCGTGGTTGGCCTTGGCGCAGCTTTCGCCCTCATTATGATTCTCGTTACCAGAATTCTGACCAAGTATATGGGAGAGGTCCAGGACTCAGAACACTTTTCAACGGCTTCCAGATCCATAAAATCCGGACTGATATCGTCAGCAGTGGTGTCTTCGTGGTGCTGGCCCGGTACGCTGCTTTCGTCTTGTGTCTACACCTACAAATACGGTGTAGGCGGTGGATACTGGTACGGAATCAGCGGGATCAGCCACTCGATGCTCTTCACGTTGATCGCCCTGCAGATGAAGCGAAAGGCTACTGGCGCTCATACAATTGTGGAGATTGTGAAGGCCCGCTATGGTAAAGCAGCCCATTGCGTGTATCTGTTCTACTCTTGTGGCACTAACACCATCATAGCAAGTATGCTCTTGTTAGGCTGTTCGCAAGCATTCGCACACATTGCTGATATTCACATTGTGGCTTGCGCATTTCTCTTCCCTGTCAGCGTTGCTGCTTACACAATGTTGGGTGGTCTGAAAAGCACATTTCTCAGTGACTGGATCCATACTGTTGTGATTTATCTGGTCATCATATCTTCTCTTCTGATCTGTTATGGCAGCTCCAGCATCATTGGGTCAACTGACAGAATGTGGGATCTTTTGCAAAGTGTCGCCAAGACTCACCCATCGGCCGGACACGAAGGGAGTTATTTGACGTTCTCCAACAAAGCTCTTGTGATGCTAGCATGGAGTCAAATTATGAGCGGATGGGCCACGGTATTTGCAGATCCCTCCTATGGCCAAAAAGCAATTGCAGCCAAGCCCATGTCGACAATCTCGGGCTATGTCATCGGATCGCTTTGCTGGTTTATTATCCCGTGGAGTTTTGGTCTCGGGACAGCTTTGGCAGCTTTGGCGCTCACGAACAATCCCGTATCGCCAACGTATCCCCATCTCATTCCTCCTATGGAGGTGAACATGGGCATGCCTCTTCTTTACGGTCTTTATGCATTAATGGGCAAGTCGGGCGCCGCTGCTGGCATCTTGGTGCTTTTCATGTCGTGCACTTCTTCCCTCTCCGCAGAGCTGGTATCATTCTCTTCGGTCATGACTTATGATGTATACAGAGCTTACATCAAACCAGACGCTACAGGAAGGCAGTTGGTCACTATTTCCCATATCTCAGTGGTGGCTTTTGCATTGTTCATTGCAGGGTTGACAGTTATGTTCAACTACATCGGGATCACCATTTCTTGGATTCTAACATTCATAGGTATTGTTTTGGGTGCTGCCCCAGTTGGAATTACGCTGACATTGTTTTGGCCAAGAATGAGCACTTACTGTTTTTACTGGGCATTGCCGCTGGGCTCATTCACCGGTCTCTGTTGCTGGCTGGGAGCATGCAAGCATTTTTACGGGACTGTCAACAAGGACAACCTAGGTCTAGTAAATTCGACCATCATTGCTAACTTCTCAACTTTTGGAGCTACGCTTCTGTATTGTGGTATTATAAGCTACTTCTTTCCCGCCGGCAATTCGTTGGAAGACCTCCAAGACAAATTCAGAGTCGGCGATGATGCTACCGCTCAAGAGAAAAGTCTAATGCAATTGGATAAGCAAACAAAAGAGAAGCTAGACAGAGTCTTCAAGTGGGCTGCTGTTGGCGTTTTCTTCATTTGGATTTCGTTCACATTTGTGCTTCCCTTTCCAATGTACGGCCAGAAATACATCATGTCCAAATCTTTTTTCAAAGGATGGATCGTTGTCAGCATTATCTGGCTCTTCGTGGCGTTCTTCTACATCACATTCTATCCTATTTATGAGAGCCGCTCATCTTTAATCCACTTCTACCGGAGAGTTCTTGGAAAAGAGAGTAATACTGACACCAACGTATTCTTGTATGGCCAAGAGGTTGATGTCGCAAATACAAGTGGAAAAGGTTCAGTGGTGGAGGAGATCGCGGAAAAAAGAGATGAGGAGGCATAGGAGACGGGGGAGCCCAAACTTTTATAATTTCAAGATTCATGATAATTGGCCATTTACTTTGGGAGTGGTGGCCATACTTTACACAACAAATACAAGATGAGTTTTCATACTAAGTGCTATCTCAACAGCCTGTGGGTAACCATGATGCAATATTGGGTTTTCAAAGTAGAGTTTTTTGAGATATAGGTAAGACTTCAAAATGTTGTACCGACATAACCTCAGAATTGCTCAACCTTGACCACTTATTTTAAATTGGCTTTGTTGCTAGACCAAAGCTACAAACTTGGCATCAAGTGTCAGGTTTAATGCTTTCAAACTTGGTTCTGGCGTTTTGGATAGCGTAAGGAAGAATTTTAGCCAGTCATTACACTCTTAGCCAGCTGCTAGTGTGTTTATGACTATATATGATTTCAATTCTTGTCTGGTAATGGAGTTGATGTTCTGGGGCTGATCGCATGCAGAGTCTAAAAGCAGCAGCAACACAGCTTTGTAAATTGTCCTTAATCCTGATTCATAACAATGAGAAAAGGGCTTCTTTGCTAGGTCAAATTGTCATCATGAAGACTGAGATTGTGTAGACTTCGGCGACTAAATAACTGGGATGTTCTTTGCAAGATAGTCATAAAATTGAGGCTTGCACTCGAACTTCAACAGATCCTCAATCGCTGAACCATAAGTAATAAGTTTCGGCTCCTCCCAAGCGCTCTGCATGATCCCAAGACCAAAAGGTCTGCCATTTGTTTTATCTACACCAATGGGAAGTGTTACCATAGGGTATCCTGCTTTTGCAGCCTGTTGGTATGTAATGGAAAGCCCACTGGGAACAAGTAAACCGTCTAACTGAAAGTTTTCCCCGGTCTTTGAATCAGTGTAATTGAGTGCGTAATCGATACCCTCGTCTCTTGAGGTTCTCTGAACGAACTCGACCGCTTGCCAGTAGGTCTCATTTCTTACGCCACCCCAGGCGAGGGAGTCCAAAAAGGAGTCTTGGCCCGAGGCAAAGGCAGAAACTGTGCCGTTTATGCCTCCTTCGGTGCCGGTGTACTTGTTGTTATACTCCACGATATCCTCCAATGATTTTATCTCGGTGTTTTGAAGCTCACTAAGGTACGTTTTGATGTTGTTGTAAAAATCGACCTTCACAACTGTGAACTCACTCTCATTTGTGCTTCCCAAGTCCCAATTCCATCCGTGGCTTGAAACCACGTCTAGATTTTTGAAGTTGGTGTTGTTGTACACGACTGCGCCAGCGTCTTCAAGTGTCCTCACGACTTTAAGAAGGGTATCGATCTGATCCGGTTTTGCCAAACTCCACAACTTTTCCCATGGAAGTCCGAATCTTGCACCTTTAAGGGCACTCTTGTCCGAGAGAAATTTCACATAATCGCCATCTTCAGGCACATGCCCTGTCTGGTTCAGAGTATATACATCCCTGGCATCGACTCCCCACATAGCTTGGAAGGCATACACAGCGTCTCTCATCGTTCTAGCGATAGAGCCCGTGGTATCCTGGTGTTCGGACTCTGGGATGACTCCTGACCTAGAAGTTAACCCAACAGTGGGTTTGAAGCCTACTACCCCATTTCTCATGGCCGGATCGATGATGCTTCCGTCTGTTTCTGTGCCGAGACTGAACATGATCATGTTTGCGGCAACTGCAGCTGCACTTCCGGAAGAGCTTCCACCGGGGTTTACAGTCAAGTTGAAAGGAGAGCGCGATTGCCCTCCACGAGCAGAGTAGCCTTCCGAGTAATCGGAGGATCGCATGTCAGCCCATTCGCTCAGTGTTGAGTGACCGAACAGTACAGCACCTGCGTCTCTGAGCTTGGAAACGACGTGGGCATCTCTAGGAACGATTGAGCCAAGCAATGACCACGAGCCGCAAGTTGTGTCCATTTTGTCCTTGGTGGCATAGTTGTCTTTGACCACGAATGGGATTCCGTGCAAAGGGCCTCTCACGAATCCCTAAGCCCTCTCTTCGTCCCTTTCAGCTGCAATGGACAGCGCATCTGGGTTTATCTGCATTATGCTGTTGACATAACTATTGATCTGCAGATACCGGTTGACATAACAGCGTACAAGGTCTTGCGAGGTCAGCATTTTCTTCTCTAGGTAGTCTTGGAGTTGGTCGATTGTGGCACCTTCAAGCGTAATGCCTTGGCATGATTCCATGGGGAACAGTTCACCAGACTCCGTTTGTGGGTATGTGAAGGTTGTTGCATTGACTGCTTGTATATTTGATGGAGAGTTCTCGGTGAACCTTTTCCAAAGAGCAGATATCGGTGATGCCACACCGAAAGATGACGCACAAGTCAATAGCAGAAGAGGTCCCAATTTCATTTGGATTTCAGATCCAGATCCTCGACTGTTCTCGGATATTGATTGTCCAAGACCGTTGGACCTTTAATAAGTAAGTTAATTCCACGATATTCGATTCCGGGACAGATCTCTCCAAGTTGAATGTCCTCGACTGAAATCCAGAATCTTTGATGATTCCTTGGTTGCGTTGATTGTAGGATTTAGATTTCACAGGTGCTTGACCATTCTTATATGCCTGTCTGTGCGTTAAGGAAGTGTGCGTCGCTTTTGGCTTCTCTTGCATATGGGTTACCCGCTAGATAAGATGTATGCAGAAGCACATTGCCTAATTGGGATGTTATTGTCTTGGCATTTTGTGTACCATGATAATGGAGTTTCCTCTTTGGGTAAAAGTAACCTTATCAGATAAAGGTCTGATAAGGGATGGTCTGATAAGGGTTTGATAAGAGAATGATCCTCGAGCCATTGAGGATGCAGCTCCTGTTGTAGACCATTATAGTGAGTCAAACAACCGCTGGAGTCCACACTCAAATCAGGAACTCGACCTTTCAGAAACTCTCGCATCCACATTGGTTCTGAGACTCTTCATGCTAGCACGATCCATTTTGTTCTCTTTCCAGTGTTGATCATTGTTTTGTTTCCTTCCAGACAAGAAGTATACCACAACGTTTTGAAATCTGTATCGTCCAACATCGAGTGTCTGGGAGGCAAGAGTCGCTTCGACACTCGCTATGAAAAGAACAGGCATGCTCAAGACCATAAGAGAGCTCCGAATCGGCAATATGACCAAATCCCTTTTCATTACGAATTGATATGCATCGAGACCAGTTTGTTGATCGATCAGTATTATATCAAACAATTGCCCCATTTCCAGAAGGCTAAAACAGAAAGCTGCGCCAGCTGGAAGCCATTGTGAAACGCCTCCTGGTCACAACCTTTGCATCTTCAACCTCATGGATCAGCACAAAGAAAACGTGGTTCCAAGAGATTTCATCATATTCAATGACACTTGAAACACGAAAAGGTTTGCGTTTCAGTCATGTATCATTTTTCAAATCCCAAACCTGAGCTTTTTCCGCCCAACGCCGCTTAGGAATACGCTCACGTCTACATTCTGAGCCATCACCACCACGCATAGACAAAATTGAGAGCATCCGAGCATGTCAGTCAAAGAATATAAGAAGGGACCTGTCGAGCACAAGTCTGGCTCGAATTTGATAAAGCTAATTGTATCAACATCAATCACGGTCTAGAAGAACGATAATGAGCAATCGTCAACTTACTCATGAATTTCAACTCGTGGAAGATATCCGTATTCATTACATCACGGCCGGAAATATAGGCCGCTCAAAGAAGCCAATTATTTTACTTGCTGGTTTCCCACAAAGCTGGTATGCGTGGCGCCACTTGATAGCCAAAATCGAGCATTTAAATCTCATCGCCATTGACCTACCAGGGCAAGGCGACTCCGATAAACCTGCGGATGGCTATGACACCTTAACAGTGGCCAAAATCGTCCATGGATTGATTCAAAAACTAAAGATATCCCGGTATTTTCTCGCTGCTCATGATGTGGGCGCGTGGGTTGCATTCACGTACGCTTTGATGTTCAGTGAGGAAGTCGAAGCATTGGCTTTGCTGGACGCCGGAATTCCAGGCGTCACACTCCCAAGCATGGTTCCCACAAGCTCTGACAGCGCATGGCGCACATGGCACTTCCCGTTTTATGCCGTTCCTGACCTGCCCGAACTTTTGATTCGTGACAGAGAGCGTGTTTATTTGGAATGGTTCTTGAAGCGTAAGGCAGCTAATCCAACAGTCTTCACTGAGGCTGACTTGGACGAATACGAGCGCATTTTGATGCAGCCAGGGGCGTTACGTGGAGGTCTGGCTTACTATCGAGCACGCGAGAAGTCCGCTCAACAAAATAGAGATCTACTCGATGAGGGCAAGACTTTACCCCCTTTGCTTGCGGTTTCATCAGACCAGGGATCTATTCCTAGCATGGCCAAGTCTCTAGAGGCGTTTTCGAAGAGGATAGTGGATGTCACCATTGAAGATTGCGGTCATTTCATTGCTGAAGAAAAGCCTGAGCAGCTGGCCAGCGAACTGGAAGCCTTCTTTCGTAAATTTATCGAACGTACTTTCTACCAATAATCTATACTTTCTATCCGAACTCTCGGTCCCATCTAAAAACCCCACACGCTAATTTTGAGATTTAAATCGAACCTTGGTGACGCGGCCGTAAGTGTAGAGAATAAGAACTCGATCAATATCATGCCTTCAGTGGTGATTTGGACAAACAATTGACAAACAATCAATGGCTTTCCAGTTCTTATCGCAAAGCAAACCGCTAACTTGCAATCAGTGACTGTCAGTCCTTTCTCACGCTGTTTCTTATGATTTTCTCAATGTCGTCGGTAGAGGACAGTAGTAGACTTTCTAATCACAGTTACAGCTTTAAAGCCTCTCAAAAATCACTCCTGTATCGCGGCTATCATACCTATCGAACTGAACTAGTCAACCGACAGATTTCGAGATTCTTGTGTTTTCCAAATTACTGATATTCATTACTTTCATTCAACACCACCAACATCAACACAGCGTCAAGTTTGGCATAGTGCAAATCAATGGAAGACATCTTCTATCCTCAATCCGTCACATTTGTCTTTAAAGACTTTGAGATAGGGAGTAATTCGGTTTCTCACGCTTCGTCCCTCCCGAACCCAAAATCTTCATAGGCCTGTAGTATGGAAATCGAGCTCGAATTGGACTCTGAGTTTGTTTTGCCAACAAACTCTTTGTAAGACCTTATGCTCTTGACTATTTTTTGACGGCAAGCTATAGCGCACTAAGCAGGAACGTGGTTCTGCTGCGTTCGAGCTCTACCTCGACCGGTTGTACGTTGGAATCATCGCTAACTTGGCCGAGGCTGCTATTGAAGAGGCCACCGGCGCTTCTTTTGCCAAGTATGTCCTCCTCTTCATGGCTGCGTGGCAAATATGGGCCGACATGAGAGAGTTTTCGGACCACTATTACTACAACAACGATTTGTCCCAAAATGCTTGCATTTTGTGGATTATGGTCCTCTTGGTGGTGTTTGTCAACAACGCCAATGAGATGTTGGCTTCGAAAGCGCAAACGGGGCTGGTTGGGGGCTGCTGTATTATGGCTCGCTCTGGTGCAATGCTTTTGACTCTGGCCTATACCGTGTTTGTGAATGAGCACAGACAACAAATGATGTGATTCTCTTGTTTTACTTGCATTTTTCTTCTAGTGCTCGGGTTCATAATCATAGCACCTCTGTGAGGAAAGACCGCCATTGCTGCTGTGTGTTACCTTTACGACACTCTTGCGTATGCTATCACCTGTCATCATGGTTTAAAAAGCTTGTAAGCGCTCGATATTCCACTGCCATACAATATCTGCAGATGCGATCCGGTGTGCCCACACCAGATCGCCTTCTTTTTACGCCAGCGGAAGCTTTGACTCAAAAAGCTTTGATGTTGAAAGACCGGACTACCTGCACTCTGTCCAGGTAATTCACGGTGCTGGTATTAAAATTGCATCAAGTTGCATGAGCGTATTAGCCCTGTGTGTTAAAAACCTAGACGCTATTGGTATCAGCAACATTCCCCCAAAATTCCGCCTTGTCTTTCGCAAATTTGTTTCGTTGGTGGTTTTTTGCATATCATTTGTCCGCATCAAGACTAGTTTATATGGAGCTCGTTGCCCTGTTGATGGTTTTCGAGCTACTTTTCGAGAGTGTTGCTCAGCTGCTTAGGACGGAAAACGGCCAAATTGCCGCTATATGAGAATAGTTGAGAAGACCGTTAAAACTGGGATAAACTCGAGTATCTTTTGGACCTTGAGAGCAAGTGCAGCGGATGAGGCCTTCTCTCCCGCTTAATTTCGATCTCGCTCCTTTGGTACTTAGCCACTGGTCGCTATAATACCATACCAGTTTATAGTCTTCAATTCAATTTCGCACTAGCGAGCATCGAAGCGGCGTGCGGTTACAAAACTCTACGTGTCGGCCAACCCAGGGTATGCTACATCGATTTTGAGCTGCTAGTCGAAGTCAATCAAGTTCAAAAGAACGACACAAGAGCATCAAATGAAGCGCCATAAAACAAAGAGTGAGCACTCAATACGCGCCAGATGGACCAAAACATTCCAAATCCTATTTTCCACTCGAGCAGTAAGTTAAAATCGTGCAATCAAACTTTCCAATCCTTTTGATGTCGTATGGACCGAACAAAAAAGCTTGTAGAAAGATATTTCATGTTGAAAGAGCGAAGTCCAATAAGAGAAAGAGCGAAGAGAATGACATGATGTTTTCAAAGACTTGGAGTTCACTTCTTGAAAATGATCTCGAAAGAATTCGAACATTGAAAACAATTCTAGTTCTGAATTGAATGATTCCAAAAACTGATTTTGTGACTGTCAAAGTAGATTCCACTTTGATTATTTTGGGCATCTTGGCCGCTCTGGCAGAAAGGCGTCCGCGCAAATGGTAATAGCTCGATTCCACGGACTCTCAGCTTCGTGAGCAGGTGAACGTTATTCTTTGATGATCAAAACCTCCGCGAGTTTTATGACATCCATTCCTCGGACCGCGGTCATAAGATGGATGGTCTAGTTTGGCTCATTGGCCGGTCGACAAATAAGTATAAAAAGGCAGCTAGCTACCTTCCTTTGACCGTTTGAGATAAAGATTCTTTGAAAAGTCACAACAGTACTGGTCCTTGTTGAAACACTCATTCAACAACGTATAATGCCTACGAATACTGCGGCATGGTTGACAGCCGAAAAGACGACTCCTTTGGAAGTGAAGCCGGCCGAATACACATCGCCTAATGAGAAGGAAATTGTAGTTAAAAACTACGCAGTTGCCTTGAACCTCGTAGATGGGGCCAGACAGACAATGGGCAACGCACTTTTTGGATGGGTCCAGTATCCTTGCATTCTAGGGTCTGACGTAGCAGGCGTGGTCGTTGAAGTCGGGCCAAACGTCACTGAATTTGAGATCGGAGACAAGATATTGGGCATGGCTTCCGCCTTGGTTTCCAACCGAGCAGCGGAAGCTGCTTTTCAGACTTACAGTGTAGTGCACACAAGCTTGGCTTCTACCATCCCAAAAACCATCTCATACGATGATGCAGCTGTTGTCCCGCTCGCCGTTGCTACTGCTGCTTCCGGCCTCTACCGAGCAGACTACCTTGCGTTGCCTTATCCAACGGTTCCAGCACGTCCTACCACTGGCGAAACTCTTCTAATATGGGGCGGAGCCTCCAGCGTGGGAACCAATGCCATCCAGTTAGCAGTGGCATCGGGCTACCAGGTCATATCTACCTCCTCGCCCAAGAACTGGGGTTATCTGAAGAAGCTTGGGGCCAGTCAAGTCTTCGACTACAATAGCAGCACAGTCGTCGAGGACATTATCAAAGCATTCCATGGCAAGAAAAGCGCAGGAGCACTGGCTATCGGCCAAGAGACGGCAGGTTCATGCGTCAAGATTGTAGCCCAAGTAGGCGGAAGGCAATTCGTTGCTAGTGCCAATTCCCCGCCCGCACAGCTGCCAGAGGGTGTTAGCTGCAAGTTCATTCTTGTTGGGGACCTGAAGAGCAATGGAGTTGGGGAGGCAATCTTTGCGAAATTCATACCAGCCGGACTCAGGGAAGGCGCGTTTGTACCATCGCCCCCATCGCGGGTGATCGGCAAAGGCTTGGGGGAGATCCAGAATGGACTTGAGGAGCTTAAAAAGGGGGTTTCTGCTGAAAAGCTCGTAGTTGTGCTTGATTGATCTAGTAGCGAAAAATGTTTGCTGCGAACTGTGTGGTGTAGACTACTCCTCTTTTTTCGATCTTCAAAGATCTCCTACATCTTCTGCAAGGCAATTCGCGCAGGCCATCAAAGATGTCTTTTATTCCCTCATGACCTCGTGAACCCCAGCTTTTCCCCTTCTACCTGTGTCTTTTCCAATTCGCGCGAGAGCTTACCAGGGACCTGCTGAAGGCTTAGATTACCCAACGAGCTGACCAAAGACTTTACGTTTTTCGACATTATTGCATTTGTGAAATTAGCTGGTCTATGGCTACTTTTGAGTTTGATCGAGAGGACAATCCTGGCTTCAACGACATATCAGTGCCTTCTTCATTGCAATTCTCTTCAGTTACAATGATGCTCTTTCAAAATCGCATCGTGTTGCCAATCAGGTTGGCAATACGCATAGGAGAGTCTCATCAGCCAAATTTCTGGAAATAAGCCCACACGGCTATTTGAATGAGCTCAGGAAAGTCCAGTCTTCTTTTTTGAACCATTATTTTGGAAGTCCTGCTTTCTATGACAGCATATTTTTTTGAGTCGCACCAGTCTACAGACTTCTGCACAGTCATAGTCTATTATGAACCAGTTTTCTCAGCGTTTTCACTTTGGCTTTCGATCGAGCAAAGCCTTGGAATGGCAGGTGGGTTGTCAAATTGAATCTTTATCCCATCGTCTGGAAATACAGTGTGCCGCCATTGACTATTCTAGCCTCATTCAATTACTTTAGCCTCAGCATACATTTCAGTGGCACAACTTTGAAGACTAGGGTCGCTCTTAAATCGAGTATAGGAAGTTAATTAGTAGCGGTTTTGATATTTTGACCATTTCATTACTTCTGACCAGGACTGGGGACGAATCGGGCGAATCCGGCTTTTTCGACCACGAACCCAGGGATTCGCGAACCATGTCATCAAGTTCAAGTATAGAGTCGCTAATGAACAAGAATCACTCATCGGATGGAGTCAACGGGCTTAGTGGCAACAGGAACCGCCAATGGCCTAGAATTGTATCACTTGAAATCTCATTCACGTATTTAGTATGTATCACTCCAAGAAGATGCTATACACTCTTTTCCTTGGGTTAAAGCCCGGTTTCAATACCACTCTCGTTACTGGACTTGTCCTCTAAGATCTGATCGTCATCATCGTTGATTGCAGACGAGTCTGAAAGGCAAGATGAGCTCAGGTCAGTATCTTCACTTGTCCGCTCTACGGGAATGCTTTCGACGACTGGCATTTCCGAACATGTACCAAAGCACTTCATTCGGGCTCTCATCACCAACGTGTTTCTCAAGTTCGAGCTCAACAGCGAGAACCTATTGTCCAGGACCCTCTAACTGATGGATAAAGATCTCTCAACGCCAGCAGTCGATAATTTTGTGTTGTAGAAAGAAACGGCAAGTGAGCAAATTGCGGGAAAGCGGCTCTGGTTCTTTGGCCAGTAGTCCAAATATGTTCTGCTTTTCTCAGATGACTCTCTCAGGTAAGCCCCATTCTCCCAAGACTGAAGCGATCCCCATTAGTCTTGTTTGCTGCTCGCCGTGATCGAGGAGTATTGATATGACGTTTCGTCTCCGATGTCTAAAGATGGATCCATTGGGGGTCCCTTGATCTTCAGTCCCCAGAGCATCTTCTGTACCCTCGACAAACTGTTTACAATAACTCGTTACGTAACGTTTAGTCGTTCTCATAACTTCGTTTAGTAAGGTTTCATTGGAGGTTGCGTTTAGCAAGTCTAGCTTGCGATGTGGCTACAATTTGTGAGCAACACAATATCCAGTCTCCTTATGAGCGATACTCAGATATTTGTCGAATTTGGGACGCAGGCTAGCCACCGCGTCAGGTATTTTTTTTTCTCATTCTTCCGTTGGGAGGCAAGGCAGTGAGTGCAAGCCCAACTCCCTGTAATGTCTCCACATCTAGTGAGCCTTTCTGTGTAGTTTCAATGACGTCGTAGTATCAATTTATAGCTCTGTAGTAGTCGATTACATTCAAAACGGCGTTGGTCGAGTCAATCTGGAGAAGCATGGTGAACTTCCCGAACACGCGCGTTATGCGAACGGAAAACGTCACAGATTTGATTTCTTCTATATTGTAACAGAGACAGGGCCATCTTCTGATCTCAATTCAATTTTCGTCTGAAGCCAATGACTGGAATTGAATCTCTCAACTTGTCTGCATACTTTGAGGAAGGTCTGGAGCCGGCGATAGCGTGAAAGAAATTCGGTGGCTGTACACTTTGGAATAGAGCGGGGTAGGTAGGCTCTAAGTTGTTCCTTGACAAAAACGTTGCTGTTGGTATGGTATGAGATCTTGTCAATTCTTGAGAGCAGGCTAGAGTAATGTATTTCAAAGGCTTTGAATAATTCAACAAAAACGCGATTCAAAACATGGTTCATGCACCGTATTTTTGTGACAGCTCTAGATTCAGCGACGTTGAATCCTAATTCAAGAGCCTCATCGAGGCTCTCAAGCATTGAGATATTGTCGGACCCATTGTCTAGGGTGATGGTAATATTTTTGTGACTGATCGAATCTTTGGCGAGACATTCCAACGAGGCAGCCTTAAGGTTTTCACCTGTGTGCCTTTTGTCACACATGTCTATGAAATTTAGGACGTGCGTGTCCTGATTCGCTGAAATAACCAAGTCATAGCACGACTTCTTTTTCAAAATTGGGCAGAATGATATCATGACGGCTAAATAGCTCATTTGGCTTTAGGACGTCCACATGTCTAGTAGCAGGTTGAAGTTGAAGGATTGTCGCAAAGTAGACTTCAATATTTTGCTGAACTCGTATTCATAGTCGTTCAGAAGTCTAACAAACCCTTTACGCGATGAAATTAGAGACCGGCTAGACGTATTGAGAAATCGTAGAAACGATCTCATCGCATATGCCTCGACCAAATGGAACGGAAAAGAATAATTGATAAGTTTGGATTAGCTTACACTTATCAAGGGCCGAGAACTTCATGAATCTCTTTGTCAGAGGAACGGGTCTTCACCACAAAAGGGATTCCGTGGAGAGCACCCCTCACTATTCCCCGGGGCCCTTTCCGCATCTCTCTCCGCTGCAATGGACAGCACATCTGGGTTTATCTGCATAATGATGTTGACATAACCGTTGATCTGAAGATATCGGTTAAAATAACAGTGAACAATGTCTTGCGACGTCAGCACGCTCTTTCCTAAGTAGCCCTGAAGCTGATCGATTGTGGCTCCTTCGAGAGTCATGCCATGGCACGATTCAATGGGAAAAAAAACTCACTGGACTCAGTTTGTGGGTATGTGAAGTTTGTTGCATTGACCTGTTGCAATTCTGATAAAGAGTTCTCTGCTAATCTTTTCCACAGATTGCAGCCTTGCCATGCTGATCCCAGCGACAACACAAATGACACCACGAGAAAGGTTTCGAATTTCATTCCAAGGTTGGATGACGATCTCGCGCTGAGCTCTAGTTCGAATTGCCCAAAGCTGTTGGGCTTTGACCTTTATTTTCTAGGATATTTCACACAGATCTTCTCAAGGTCGCTCGTTCCCGACTGGAGAATATCGTGTTGTTAATGATCGGATTTTCGGGTCGAGATAAACCGCTTACCTCTCGTCGTGTTGGTATGTATGTCGTTGTGCGATTCGAGAGCTAGGCAACCGGTTATCGGTTATATGGTAGCCATACAGATAAGCATTCTGCTGGGAAGCCCATTACCCGATATCGTTAATCATTTGCCTATTTGAGAAACGGATGTCGTTATCAGTCATGTACCACAATTCTGAATTCCATTTTGGGAAAGAAGTGCTTATCAGATAAGAAACTCAATTTGGTAATGGTCCTCGAGGCATGGAAAAGCAGGGTTCACCTCGTTGACAACAGACATGAGCCAGCTAATGGCCTGGGTCCGTGAGCAAATGAGAGAAGAGTAGCGTTTTTGGCTTGCCTGCACACCGGATGGATTGCTCTTGAGCAAACGCTATCCATTTTGCACTCAAGTTATGGGTTATTTCAATCAGTTGTGGTTTGAGGCAAGGTGAGAATCTCACCATCCTTCCGTGTGGTTCGTTTCGTCGAAGACTAAATGCCTTGGTGGTTATAATAATTGCCACCTGGTCCAACTTTGCTAGAGGAATAACAGCTGCTTGAGAAATATCATTTCAACGTGACCTTTCGCCGCACCACCTCTTCCAAAAAGGCTTATGATCGACAGTTTCACAGAAGAACGGGTCGGTATCTGTGGAGCCTAGTTTGTCAACAATGTTGAAACAGGAGGCGATGGGGAGGCTTTGGGTATTCTTACCGATTTTGACGTTGAAATAAGCAAAAAAAACGCTTTTATTTATTTTGTCACTCTTGCCAGACTTCCTGGTCACAACTCCTGCATTTCAAAAGCACGTCAAGAAAGAAAGGCAGGAGCAGGGACTTTCGAGAGAAGTTCAATTTCTGCTATGACTCTTAGGCCTCTGGCGAGGTATGCAACTCGCCCTATGATTTTTTCACTACTCGAGCCCTAACGCTGAGATTCGCCGTCTAACACCACTTAAAACCGCGCTTACATTATCATTTTCCACAAGCTCTGCTCAGCGTTAGTACAAGCATGAAGATCTGACAAGATCAGCCAAGACCTATAAAAAGAGGCACTTTAACATTGACACGGTCAGATCATTATTCAGAAGATGGGCTGAAAATTCATTCAGCAGATCGTGGCATTGTCAATCACTTTTTCAAAAGAACGCTTATGTCCAACCATTCATTGACCCACAAATTCACACTCGTGGCTGGAACCCGTATCCACTACGTCACGGCTGGTCTCAAAAGCTCTGGAGACACGAACCTAGTATTGCTTGCGGGCTTCCCGGAAAGCTGGTATGCGTGGCGCCAAGTAATACCCGAACTCGCGAAGAACTTCCATGTGGTCGCCATTGACCTACCAGGACAAGGCGATTCCGATAAGCCAGCCGATGGGTATGACACGTTAACAGTCTCTAACATCGTTCATGAAGTGATTCGAAAGTTGGAGATGACCCACTATTTTCTCGCTGCTCATGACATAGGCGCATGGGTCGCTTTCCCATACGCGTTGATGTTTAGTGACGAGATCGAAGGCTTAGCTTTGCTGGACGCCGGGATTCCAGGAGTCACCCTCCCAAGCTTGATTCCCACAAGCTCCGACAGCGCGTGGCGCTTATGGCATTTCCCCTTCCATGCCGTTCTTGACCTACCGGAACTTTTGATTCGCGGCAAAGAGCGGGTCTATTTGGAATGGTTTCTGAAGCGCAAAGCAGCTGATCCAACGGTTTTCTCTGAGACTGATTTGGAAGAATACGAGCGCATCTTGACGCAGCCCGGAGCACTGCGTGCAGGTCTAGCTTACTATCGAGCATGCGACAAGTCTGCTCGACAAAATAAAGCGTTACTCGACGAGGGCAAGATTTTACCTCCTTTGCTTGCAGTGTCATCGGACCAGGGCTCGATTCCAAGCATGGCCAAGTCTTTGGAGGCGTTTTCTAACCAGGTCGTGGATGTTACCATCAAGGATTGCGGTCATTATATTACTGAAGAGCAGCCGTTTGAGCTGTCTGACGAGTTGAGATCCTTCATTTTTTCCTTGAGTTCCCCCTGGTAATCACAGTCGGAACTTTATAGTCTCGTTTTAGATTCCCAAAACCATGTCAAGGCGCTTTACAGAATGGCTTCAGCGTTTCATTCTGACTTTAGTAGCGCGACCATGACAGTCAAGGACAGACACCACATAAAATATAAATTGAAATGATAAAACTACAACCAACGAGCGGAATCCCCGAATTGCAAATCGCAAAGCGACTCACTATTTTGAGAAGTCAGTGACATTCAGTTCAAGTCTTATTTCCTATAAAAACTTGGCCAATCGTAATGTTGAAGGCGATACAAAACGGAACGCTATCCCATCAGTAATCCCATGAATTAGGTCCTTCATCATGACCAGCTTTGTATCATCTGTTTTGATCTGGAGTAGTTACGTAGAAAGAGTCTTGGAAGTTCTGCATGTTATCTCGATTAATTGGTCTAAACTTCAGCTCACTATAGATCACCAACTTCAACATAAGTAAAACTAAGAGAAGTACAGACCCATGGACTTTTGCTGGGCTTCTAAATCGATCACACCTATTTGTACGCAGTATTGAATAGTGTCATAGAAACCCATTTTGTTTCTTTGGCTTTAGTTTACAAGTTCTTTGTCTAGTTGTAATTTACTTTCGATACTCCCAGTGGTATGGAATCCGAGGCCGAATTCGATTCTGAGTTTGTTCGGAAATATGGACCAGTCAACGTGGAGTGGATTGAACCGCCAGCAAGCAACAGACTTTTTGTAAGGCCACATGCGCTGAATTACTTTTATGACGGCAAGTTATATCGCACCAAGCAGGAACGTGGTTCCGGAGTGTTTGAGCTCTTCTTCGACCTATTGTATGTTGGAATCATTGCGAACCTAGCCGAATCTGCTATTGAAGAGGCTACTGGGGCTTCCTTTGTCAAATATATTCTTCTCTTCATGGCTGCGTGGCAGATATGGACAGACATGAGAGAATTTATGGACTACTACTATAACAACGACCTGAGCCAGAAAGCTTACGTTTTATGGATCATGGTTCTTCTTGTGGTCTACGCCAACAACGCCAATGAGGTATTGGAGTCGAAATCGCAAACCGGGCTGGTGGTGGGCTGCTATATTTTGGCTCGTTTTAGCGCGATACTTCTGACTTTCATCTATACCTTTTTTGTGAAGGAGCACAGACGACAAATGAGATGGTTTTGCTGTTTCTCCTGTATTTCACTCCTGATATTTGGGTTCATAATAATTGCACCCCTGCGAGGAAAGATCGCCATAGCTGCTGTGTGCTACTTTTATGACACTATCGTGTACGCTATAACCTTCCATCCGTGGTTCAAAAAACTCATCGGTGCCCGGTACTCTACCGCTATCAATATCGAGCATGAAGTGGAAAGACATGGAGCTTTTGTCGTGATAGCTCTCGGCGAATACCTGTACACCATAGTGGCATCATCTCCAGCAGCGAGTGGGTTCAATGAAAGGACTGCGCGTGCAATCAGTGTTCTTGTCGTTGCCTACTGTCTTGCTTGGTTTTACTTTCGTGGTGAGGGCTCCAGGAAGGCGATACATGCTCTTCGCCGAAGTGTTGTCTCCGCGTACTGTTGGATTTACGTGCATGTCCCGCTCATCATATCTCTTATTATATCTGCTGATGCAGCGGGTGCCCTCACGAGATCGCATTCTCTCTACGCCAACAAGAGCTTTGACTCAGAAAGCTTCGATACCGAAAGACCGGACTACTTACATTCTGTTCAAATATTCTACGGTGCGGGTGTTGGCGTTGCCCTCAACTGCATGAGCGCTTTGGCTCTATGTGATAAAAGTCTGGATGTCATCGGTGCCAGCAACGTCTCCTCAAAAGTCCGACTCATTCCTCGAATTATGGTGTCGTTTGTGATTTTCGGCATATCGTTTGCCCACATCAAGATTACCTTATATATGGGACTCATCGCATTGTTGCTAGTCTTACAGCTGTTATTTGAGAGCATTGCTGAGCTACCCAGAACGGAAGACGGTGAAATTGCTCTAATTTGAAGGGAGTCGCAACATTCATTTGATTTCGGGTACACTAAACGGACTTCAGACCTCGAAGTCCTTCAATGCTTGGGCAGCTACTGTCGACAACTATTCAGGGTTTTGAAGAGTGACGGGTTGCATCAAGAGCGTTTACAAGAAATATTTTATCGACTCCTGCTCTCAAGACGGAGAGCTTCAAGTTGCGGAGCCATTTGATCCCCCCACTCACTTCGTATAAGCCGGGCTATTCTCCCGCACAATGACGGTCTTGATCATTTTTCTAGTCAGTCTTTTTTTTTAATCCATCACTAATCTTTCAATATAGGCAGTTGTTGGTCCAGTCGATCAAGTGCTCTTCGTCGATCGAATGTTCTTCCCCGCTGTTAGCCTGTTTTGTTATCGTGAGTCCGGAAACCTGACGAAGTTGCAGGCACCCCCGAATCAGAAACATCTTTGGCACCCTTAGCTCGCAAATAAGCAGCCGCTCCTGTTACTTGTCTAGGTTCATTTTGACGCATTTGTGACAAGATTGGATTGCGCTTCGAAGCCGAAGATGAGTGTGATTCATGTTTCAGCTGGCATGAGCATCAGCCAGTATTGTGCGGAACATTGACGCTGAGTGAAATAGAGCTGGCTGGCTATCTCTCGACGCTGCAACGGAGTCCATATTTTTTCTTGTCGCCTGAATGCATAACGATAGAAGTGCAATTGACTTGTATGTGAGTGCCCTGAAGCTAGAAAAGCCGGCAAGGCACACTCACCTAAATGAAGATTCATATGGAAGGCGGCTAAAATGAAATGCGAAGAAACATGCCGTGAGCTTGTTTTCACCTTGGCAAAGTAAGATAACCTTCGCTCATGGGGACGTTCTCGACCCTTGGAGCAATGGAACTCGATTCAAGGTTGTTGGTTTTCGAGGGATCGAATCTGGGGTGATTTGAAGGAAGTCAGAGCTTATGCTTAAATTTACATTATCACTCCTAAGAGCATGCAAATGGTTGTTGAGGTGCTATATTACCGTGCTGAGGGTGGATAACAGCATTCACAACGTAGACGAAGCAAGTTATTGCGCTTAGACTTATTATAGTTTGGGTCGACGCCTCCGGAAAAAAACACAGGCAAAGGATGATATTTCGATCTGCTGGGCAACTGATAATGTTTAAGCCGATATTGAGCGCTGTTTGGTCTCTGAACTGCAGAATATGTTGAAGAAATCTAGCAGTAGCCGATAATTCAAGCTTCGACGACGCTGTTGACGAGTGACAATGATTTCGGACCTTCAAAAAGCGTTAAACATAACAGTGGTAATGAGCTTCCACATACTCCGGTTCTAGCGTCACCAAAATTGACTTTTGTTCTACCAGCGCTTTTGCAGAAATATCTTACGAGCACCTGAAAGTCGATTCAACCGCACTTCGGATGAACGAGGCTTCAATACTAACGGCCTATGCTTTCAGATAAGTCAGAAAATAATACAAAGTGCCATCGACGACCAGAGACATTTTCAATTACGACACAAAATCATCCTTTTTCCAAACCTCACCTCGAGTTATAACGGAGAATGCCCACCATCATGGCGGTATTGTGGTCAGCCAAAAAGCTGTTCGCTTTTGATGGACAAGTCTGCTGACTACACAATGGCTAAACCCGAGGACATCGTCGTAAGAAACAAGGCCGCTACGTCAAACCTTGTTGATTGGGCTACGAATGGCTACTCAAGAGGCTTTATTCAAATACCATTAGTATTGGTAGTGATAATCAGTTATTCTGACTACTCAGCATTGGTTTCCATGCCGTCCAAAGCTTTCTCGCTGGCTGCAAGAATTAGTGCTACGCTCGGCTTTTTATATAGGAATGGTATTGAAGGCTCCTCCTAATAATCCTTTAATGGCACTAGGGGTCTACGAATCATAGTAACGGAACATTGAAACAGGATTGTGATTTTAGTCTCTTGGTCATTAACTGGACTGGCTAGTTCAGTATAATTAATTGTCATTAATTATTGGTCAGTATGGTCAACGCTGACGCTACTTCACATCGAGATTGTCGCTACGATCAACTAAAAGGCTCGATACGCGGTTACCACGGCCTACGCCAGAGAAGTTCATTCACTACTGGCATGCTTCATGAAGATCCTAAGCTTCCGTAGCTTCGATCATGCTTAGTTCTTTTCATCAAAAAAATGTTGCAATCTCGCAGAGAGGTGAACAAAATTAGAAAGAAAAAACACTGGAAGCTGATTCACAGAACCTTTTGGTTGACAATCGTCTATCTTTCTGGTCATGGAGTGCTTTCGTATCTAACTTGCCAAGGTCCCTCTTTAAATGCAACGTCAGACTCGTTGTCAGGTTCCGAAGATTTTTCAACGAGATGACAGCGACATGAATTTTTGTTTAGCCAAGAAACGTGAATTGCGAATTACACTGCGCGACTGATGGAATAGGTACCATTTGAGTCCACCGCACGGATGTTGACGATTTTGAAAGGTGGCTAAATTCGCGTGTGACAAGGTATTGATGGTTTTGTTTTGTGGGGTTTGGGCGGTATCTTAATTTGTAAAGGACTAAATGATACGAAATTCAAGGCTATTGAAACGAGCATGTCTCAACCAGTCCTTACGATCTCTACTGGCGTCAATTTTGTTAGACTGTGGTAGTGGACGCTGACCAGCTACAGAATTATTGTGAACTTACTTGAGTTTTTATGGAGCAGGCTGCTAAGGCGTAGTTTGGTCGCCCTGACACTACACTATAAAGGCTTAATCCAAAAAACAAGAGCCAGAAAATGTGGTGAGGCGACAAATCATGTAGTTTTTTTAATCGGTAAATACGCTTTGAGGTTCATGTTTTGGTCTAATAGGATGTCATTAAGTAGTTGATTAGAATTCCACTTACAATTTGAGTCAAGCTTTACACAACAAAAAACAATGATATGAGAGCTCTTGAAAAACAAGAAGCCGCGAGAGGTCTCCCCACGTTTGTATAGTGTTTCAAGAAGAGATGGCTCGACGATCAGGTTCTCGAAATAAAGGTAAGTGTACCAGTAAACCTGCGCTGACGCCAGTCACGTGTATCAAGATGATTTTGGCATGATATTAAGATGAGAAATTAAAAAACAAGAAAGTGTAGGGTTGGCCGTGAAATCCCATAGCATCAGCCAAAATCTGAGGTTGAGCCTATCCTTGCACGGCAAGCCAAGTCTTTGACGGATCCAGAAATTGGGTTATTTTCTTTGTGGAAACAGCATCTTTCAGTTCTGCAGCCTATGATCGAATATTTGGCCGGGGGAAGCATGATGGTTTAACAAGTTTGACAAGCGATCACTGATTTCTCGCTACTATTTTACGTAAACCTCGTAAAACAAGCAATGCCCGAGTTCAGAACGCATTTTATCATTGAATGCAGAGTGATAAATGAAGATTTACGGTTGATCGACAATCTCACCGCACTGTTGGCTAATTTGAGCAGGTAAAGCGAGCCTCGCGTCTTTCCCTCAATGTGAGAACAAGTCAAGGTCGAAAGTCGTTTTGAACATCTTTTTGTTGCGTCTAGCAGCTACATGCAGTATGTCGACTTCCTGGAATGTTACAGTGTGTCCAATACAAGCAGTACGGAGTTTTTCTTTTTCGACCAAAGCTGATAGCTCAGGGACCAAAGAGCCTAGGGTTTGGGTCCGGCTCGTAACACGAGAAAGTAGGTTTTGCACGTCTAAGTGACTGCCATGTGTCAGTTGAGGCATTTGTACAGACCCAGATACTTACAGATGCATGTCTTTATGCGTCCAACGTCTGATGTCACAAGAACGCAGTCGTCAATTCGGCTACAACCATAAGGTTACCCAATGCATGTCTAGGCTCCGACTTTCACGGCTGGTGGTAACGACGGTACTTGTATGCCCACAAGCGCCCTCGACTGCGGATACTTACGACAGTTTTTTATGCAGGTGCTGTATGACGTATTACTTTTTGGACCGTCCTCCCCCCATTTCGAAACATATCGCTCAGTGATACCGTCCGTCAAGCATATGCATCAGGATTCGGCCGTGTGGATTAAAAGATGTGCGCCTTTCGCCAACCTCTCGGAGCTCGGAACGTGGAAGTCCGAGTAGCCACCGAGTAAAACTCTGTCCTTCGCTGGGCATTCACCAAAGATCTTTTCATGAACATCCTCCTGTATGCAGGAAGAATCCGTCCGAATTCTGTTTCGGACCAGAGATTTCTGCATGGTCTGGGGTTCCTTCCTTTCAGCTCCGCAGCAGTCTAGCGCAACTTCTACATTCATGAGGGTGGAGCGACGTAGCTTTGCTCGCTTTGCAGAGTTTAAAAGATCATGCATGGTTACCTAAGCTGATGCTCGAGAAAGTGATCACGTGCATACTCGGACATTTATTTTTCATGTGATAAGCAAGGCAGGCGTATTGTTCCTCGAGCAAAATGCTCACTAGCAACATTCCCTTCGAAATCGAAAAACGATCAAGGGCTCTCAGCCATGTGTGAAAGCATTACGACCTTTTCGGTTAAGGCAGTCGAGGTTGTTCTTGCATGTAACGCAAGCTTCGCGGAAATTACCTGTCAATTCCGTTGGTCAACACATCGTGAAATTTCGGCTCAAGGTTACCTGGCAACGGCGTTGGTAGAGAAATCCGTTGGCACGAAACGGAAAAAGGAAAGGATGCGCATTCTTACCAGTTTATGCAGGCACATCCGCCGAATACTCTCCGCTACAGTAGAACTAAGTGAGGAAAAAGACTTACTGCATGTCTTTACGCCAAGCCAAGCTGCAGCGGACTTCGAGCGCAGCCGGAAAAAATGAAAAATTCGGCTCATGCCAGACTTGGATATGTCGAGTTGAGATTTTCGTGAAGTGCTATGCTCAAGGTCGGTCTTTGGGAGCGGTACTTTCGAAACCGTGTTGGCCGCCCAGATAATGACGAAGAGGGCCTCACAAAAATGTCAATCTTGGGCGGAACGTTAAAATGGCCGTTGAGCGCGTGGTTTCGGTAGCATTTAGCGCACCTAG